GAGTCTGGTGGAGCGAACGATGACGACGCTGTCGAACACGAATTTGTTGTGGAACAATTACTCCATATCGCCATCACTCTAGATTACAGCGACGAGGTCGGTCGGCGAAAGATGTTCTCGCTCCTGCGAGAAACTTTGGCCGTGCCAGAACTCCCAGAAGAGAGCACGAAACTCGTCGTTGAAACACTCCGCTGTGTCTGCGGACCTGATACCGCGGCCGAGGCCGAATTTTGCAGTGTTGTTCTCGAAGCTATTGCCGAGGTTCACGACACCATCACCACTGAAGATAGCTTTGTTTCTGCTAGGTCTGAGATTAGTGACGACACTAGTAGACGATCCGAAACTCCAGGGGAAGAGGAGATCACTCCCTTTAATAAGGAAGAAGCCAAGGCCAAGATCGTCCGCGAGATTGTGGTCAACATGAAGTGTCTATTCATTGCTCAGTGCATGTTGCAGAATGTCCAAGGCCACCTGCAGCAGAATATGAACCTGGTTACTATGCTCAATAACCTTGTGGTTCCCGCTGTTCGCAGTCACGAAGCTCCAATCAGAGAGCGTGGTCTCGTGTGCTTGGGACTTTGCTGTCTGCTTGATAAGGTCAGTATCTTCTCTTGTGATAGAAGACAAAGTTCGCTAATAATTATTTCTCACAGAATTTGGCTGAAGAAAATATGACTCTCTTCATCCACTGCTACAGCAAGGGTCACGAGGCATTGCAGGTCACGGCTTTACAAATTCTCTGCGATATGATCACGACTCACCCATCCCTACTCGCTCCCGTTACCCAGGCTGATGGCGAGACCGTCACGCCACCCGCCATGCACAAGCCTTTACTTAAGGTTTTCGCCCGAGCTCTACGTGCCAACTCTCCCAACAGCGTGCAGTCCGGAGCAGCCGCCGCTCTCTGCAAGCTGCTACTCACAAACACCTTCACTCCCTCTGGACCAAATGTCCCACCCGCAATCCAGGAACTCAATCAAAATGGTGTTGAATCTCTGTTGCTGTCCCTCGTGGTCTCCTTTTACCACCCACGCACTCGTGAAAACCCAGCACTACGACAATCATTGGCTTATTTCTTCCCAGTATACTGCCATTCTCGCGTGGAAAACACACAGCACATGCGCCGAGTGGCCGTACCAGTGATCCGTGCTGTAATGAATGCCGCGGAGGAGCACTACTCACTCGAGGCCGAGGAAGATAGTGATGGAGAAATCGATCCAAGCGTCGGCGAGCGCGAGATCAAGGCTCTCATGACTGGTGTCGTGGGTATGCTTTCAGAATGGACTGATGAGCGCCGCGTTGTTGGCCTCGGTGGTGAACGAATCATGGCTGGCGGTACCGCCAGCTCCAATGTTTGTGGATGGGTTCACCTCGCCCTGGTTAAGGAGATTCTCGAGCGCGTTCTCGGTGTCACCGCTGCCGCGAATCGCTGCTCACGCGAGGAACGCAAGCTTCTCTTCTCTCTCCTCAGCAAGCTTTACTTTTCCGCTCCTACAGTACCCGCACGAGCTAGCTCTCGTGCCCCGGAAGGCGATGATCAATTCCGAACTAGCATCCGCAGTGCTACGGGTGTCGAAATTGATCCCGAAAACACTGCCCTCGCGACCGAGGTCAAGGAGCTATTGGATCAAACCATTGAAGAGGGTCTCGCCGCGGAAGCCTCCAGCCGAAACGCTCTCGTCAAGGCCAAGAACGCTATCCTCAAGATCCTTGCCGTTGCACAGGATAGTCGGGCTGCTAGCGCTCGTCCTCGCGAAGGCACTGAAGACCCTGACAACGACGGAGCTAGTGTACGCTCTGGTAGTGTTCGTCGCTCTGTGGACCCTACTGGTGGCTATAGCCGTCGTCATTTCTCCGTTGAGCCAAGTATCATGGAGGAAGACGAGGGTGAGGGTGATAGCCGTTTTACTTCTGCTACCGCCAATCGCCCCATTGTCTCCATTGAGCCCAGTATTATGGAAGAAGCTGAAGAGGATGACCATGATACTAGTCGGGGGACAATAATCAAGGAAGAGACGGGTGATGAGTGATGATTGTTCCGAGGTTTGGCGTTGAGGGTGGAAATATGATTCTTTAGGGTTGGGTTAGGGTTCTGTACATATTTCAGTGTCTGATTTTTCGAATACCTTTTGCTTGAATGGCATTATATGAGTTTCCTATACATGTCCAATATATATATATATCCACGTGATGTGCCACGTGATGGTATTTTTTTGACAGCGGCAGAGAGAGACTTCGACATTTGGAATGTCCATCTTGTCTATCTTTCCCTTACATGTGGTCTGTATTTGCCTATATTTATCTCAGTTCTAGATGTGTTTCACTGTACATCTGTCCTACATTAGTAATTACTGCCTTTTGTGTACTTATTTATATCCTAACTAATAGTACAAGCCCTTCAACACTAAACACAGTTAACTATTACCTATAAAGACAAAGGCATTAATATATATCCTGACTCGTTTAAAGGGCGTAATAAGACAGGGATCTGGACCCGGTTGGGGTTGCACGGTCAAGACCAGTCCGAACACATAAATTTCCAGGGGAATTGAATAAGAAGATTCGAAGAGAGAGAGAAGAAGAATTAATTTCTTGAATTCAAGTAAACATCTATATAATTACATATATTGTATTGTTATAATCTCCGCCCGAGCCCCGAAACTTTTCATTTTCTCTCGAAACTCCACCGAGTTGGCTCTTTTCTTCTTCTCCCCCCCCCCTTTCCCTTCTCTCCCCCCCCGGGCTTTCTCTTCTATTCTTACACACTCTCTTCTCCGTGTCTTTGTCTTCTGCTTTTCCCGCAGAGACATTTTCTCCTTCTTCCCCCCGGGATTCCCTTGCCGCTCCGTTGGGGACAAGTCAGCGATGGCGGCCGTTTCAGCACCCACCCCCAAGCTGGATCGATACATTGTCATCCACGTTGCAACTACCTGTGACGAGCATGGCGTATATGTCACTAAGGACTCGGCTGAGGTCATTGAGTTAGGATGGATCCTGTTGGACACCAAGACCTGCGAGGAAGTCCGTTCCCCCCCCCCCGTCTTCTCTACCCAACATTCAATTTACTCCCGAGGTCAACCCAAAAGCTGACACCCTTTTTTTTCCAATTGTTTAGCTGCACCGTGAAAGCGTCCTAGTCAAACCCGTCAATACTCCAATCACCCCGCTTTGCAGTAAGATCGCCTTGAAAACAGCCTTATATTGGGGTTTTGTTAGGAAAATCAATTTGTGGCTGACAATTCTCTGCAGCGAGCTTGACCACCTTGACATGGGAACACGTTCGCTCCGCAGGTACTTTCCGGGACGCCATCTCTCGATTCGACGCCTTCGCCCAGGAACACCTCACCAGCAAACACCTCGAGTTTGCTTTTGTGACGTTGGACTCGTGGGATCTGCGGGTGCAGCTGCCCCGCGAGGCCCGCGACAAGGCCGTCGTGCTGCCCGCATACCTGCAGCATTCCCGCACTTTCGACCTACGCACCGAATATCAACGCTGGCAGACCCATCACCCTGAGTCGCTGCCTTTCGGTCCCAGCTCGCTCTCCAACATCTGCGCTGCCCTTGAAGTTGAGCCCGTTCAGTCGTCCGCCCCGATTAAGCACAACCTTCCTTTCCACTTGCAAGCTTTGGCTCCTGCTTCGCCCCGCCGTGCCATGGAGGAATCTGTTACTCTCGCCCGTGTGCTCCGTGGTTTGATCCGCAAGTCGCAGCCGCCCCAGGAACACCCTGAGATCCTCACTCGTCCTATGGATGCTCATGCCGACGTTCGGGCCTTTTTGGCGGAACGGAGCAAGGTCCTGCACCTGAGTGGCCTGCCCCACGATACCACTCAGTCCGAGTTGGAGAGCTGGTTCACTCAGTTTGGTGGTCGTCCCATCGCCTTCTGGACTCTGCGGACCCCAGACCAGCACAAGCCCACTGGCACTGGCTTTGCCGTCTTCTCTTCCCACGAGGAGGTGAGTTTTTATTGTCTTTTGGCTGTTCTATTATACAGAACTTCCTATGTTTTATCCTTATGTTTTTGCTTGCTAACGGTTTACTAGGCTGCCGAGAGCCTGTGCATGAACGGCCGTGCGCTCAACGAGAAGGCAATTGAAGTCTCTCCCTCTTCCAGCCGGGTTCTGGACCGGGCCGCCGAGATCCTCACTCCTTTCCCGCCCTCCAAGAACCGTCCCCGTCCTGGTGACTGGACTTGCCCCTCTTGTGGCTTCTCTAACTTCCAGCGCCGCACCGCATGCTTCCGCTGCTCGTTCCCCGCCATGGCGGCCGCCCCCGACCCAATGAACTACGGAAACTACGGTTACGGCCCGCCATCGATGATGCCTCCTCACATGGGCCATGGCGGTCACGGTATGGGTGGCGGTCACTCGCGTGGTATGGGTGGCAACGGTGGTGTTGTCCCCTTCCGCGCTGGTGACTGGAAGTGTGGTTCTGAGGGTTGTGGTTATCACAATTTTGCGAAGAACATCAACTGTCTACGCTGCGGTGCCCCTCGCTCGGGCGCCGCCGTCGTGGCAGACTCGGCGTTCCCGTCGCCGATGGATCCACCGTCGCAATTCAATATGGGGCCCAACTCGATGGCTAGCACCCCTGCCCCAGCACCGTTCGCCTCTACCGCTGGTGGATTCGGTGGTTTCAGCCAGCAGTTCGGTGGCCCGCCCAACAACTACGCCCTGCCTTCCGGTGGTCTGGGTAACAACACCCCCGGTGCATACCCTCCCATGGGCCAGATGAACTCGGGCTACGGTTCTTCCAGCACCTCGCACTCGGCCGCCTCCTTCGCCAACCCGGCCACTCAGGCTGCTTTCACTGGTGCGGACCATGGTGTGCCCTCCACCAGTGCTTCGAACGGTGCCTTCTACGGCTCCGATGGTGCCAGTGACCCCTTCGCCTTCTTGTCAAGTGGTCTCGGTGGTCTGACTGTGTCTGATGACCCCCACTCTCGTCGCAACGGCTCCGGTGCCAACAAGTCGCCAGCTTAAATATGGGTCTAGTTGTACCTACTTCACGCCCCACTCACGAACTGGGCGCTCACACTTATGTTGTCCATATTGCAACCCTGCATTGTGGCGGGTTTCTGCGTTGGTTGATATTCGTTGATACGCATTTGTATAAGGGATTCTGCGGTTTTGGTGCATCGGGTTGGAAGGAGCAGGCGGGTTAGCGTTGTCGAAGATTTCGGATTTCTTTTTCTCGCCTTCGCCGCCCTGTGCTTTTTGTGATGCTTTTTATTTTTTTGGCTTTGGTTTTGTTTTCTGGTGGGAGCTGTTTTCCCCCCTTTGTGATTTCCATCTTGCGCTATATGGTTGTTTTTATTTGAGGGAATAAGCCCCTTGTAGGGGTGGTGCATGTATTTTTTTGAATGTTCCGGCCCTCTTCTGGTTTCTTCTGCAGGCACACACGTTGGGTTTGCCCTTTGGCATTGCATTTTAGATATTTTGTGCTCCCTTTCTGCACTCTTTGGTCATGGGAAGCGTCGGAGAATTCACGGTCTTGATCTGGGGGATATACTGGGACTCCGTTTGGGGTGTTGGGGATTTACTTTGAAGCTTGGGCATCGAATCGAGGATCTCTTCGGGGTCGAAGCACTGTGAATGCAAAAAACGATATTGTGTCTATATTTTTCATATGTATTCTCGTTATTTAGGTGGTTTGACTATATAAAATTCTAGTTCGTCTAGTTTTATATATATCCATGGATGTTTACATTGTATCGAGTTAAGGTCTTCATAGGTGTGTTATTTGACTTGTTTTGAATGAATTCAAGACAAATCTCGCATTTTTCTTCCGAGGAAACAGTGTTCAATATATGAATTCACTCTGATTAGAAGACTGTTGGAAAACTAGGTCAACTGCTAGGTACATGAAATTACTATGGTGCGTCCGTACTTAACAGAAGTACCGTGAGGGTTGTGGAGGCAGCCGTAGGCTTTCGCGTCCACCGCCCGGAACCCGTCATTGCTCCAACCCAATTGACCTGAGCTACTTGACACTCGTCTGCACCCTTCTACCTCATTGCTTCCCTTGAACTCGTTATTTACAGAAACATTTAATCACCACTCATTCAGTCGCCCTTGATTCACAATGTCCGGATACGACCGAGCTCTTTCAGGTAAGCTAGCTCCCCACGTCCAGCTCCCTTTGCTCCTGACCAGGACGAAAGCTGTATCATGCTAACTTATCGCAGTATTCAGGTACGAGGTCTCCAAGCTATACTTCAGCTCCAGAGTTCGTTTTCTAACCCTCTCCCTAGTCCCGATGGACACGTCTTCCAGGTTGAATATGCCATGGAGGCTGTGAAGCGAGGTAAGATCGCCATTATTTGCTTTCCTAGCAGCTTTCTCTGCTTCATTTTCTGCCGTTGCTCCTGTTTTATGTATAAAAAAAGACACAATTTGCTGATGACAGGTGATTCTAGGAACTTGCGCTGTTGGTGTCAAAGGCAAGGACATCGTCGTTCTCGGTTGCGAAAAGCGTTCCGCCCTCAAGCTCCAAGATACCCGCATTACTCCCTCCAAGATCGCCCTGGTCGATGACCATATCTGTCTGGCTTTCGCTGGACTGAACGCCGATGCCCGCATCCTTATCGACAAGGCCCGCTTAGAGGCTCAGTCCCACCGCCTGACCGTCGAGGACCCCTCTAGCATCGAGTATATTACGAAATATATTGCTGGTGTTCAGCAGAGATACACACAAAGTGGTGGTGTGCGTCCATTTGGTATCAGTACGCTGGTGGTTGGATTTGACAAGAACGACTCCACCCCGCGACTGTACCAGACTGAGCCATCTGGAATCTACTCGGCCTGGTAGGTGTTTTCCGAGCTAGGGTTTTCATATTGGATCAATACTAATATATCTTCTCTCGCTACAGGAAAGCCAACGCCATCGGTCGTTCCAGCAAGACCGTCCGCGAATTCCTTGAGCGCAACCACCAGGACGACATGGACCGTGAGCAGACAATCCAGCTGACCATCAAGTCTCTGCTTGAGGTTGTGCAGACGGGTGCCAAGAACATCGAGGTCGCCATCATGGCACCAGGTAAGACCCTTGAGATGCTGCCAGATGACCAGATTGAGGCGTACGTGAAGAACATCGAGACCGAGAAGCAGGAGGAAGCAGCCAAGAAGAAGACCCGGGCAGGGACCACCACGGCGGCTATCCTCACCCGGCCGGGTGGCGGCGAGTCGACTGATTAAGTGCTAGACCTGGAAGGATTCAGAGCCTGAGAGGGGACTGGATGATTTGTTTCAATTTACAGTAGCGTTGGGTCTCTTCCTTGACGAGAATCCAAAATCATGAAGTTTTAAAACACCTCTCCCAGTTTCTTTCGTATTGTATATTGTACACCAATGCAGAGAAGGGTATTGATGCCAAGGGGATTTCCATCTGCCTTGAACTATTGCAAGAAACAGTAACCATCAAATCGTCAACATCATGAAATTGCGCCGTCCCCGCCAATTGTCTTTTTTCCCCCAAAGCGCACACCTTAGCCCATGCGGTCTGACACATCTTTAATATTGAAGAGGGAACGCTCCTTGTCGCGCGCAACACGCTCGTCCTTAAGCATCCTTGATATGGTCAGCATCCTGCCAATTAGAAGATCTTGTGTGCTCGACATACCGGTTGTCCATACGAGCATCCTCACCCTCCACGTGTAGTCGCGCCTCGGGTTCGCGTGCCTCAATGACAAAGTGGTTATCACAGTGAGGGCAGTACTCATCACTAAAAGCAAAATTAGCCCGCTGCCATTTGGCGTTTGAGCAGTTTCTTGCATACGTCTCATCGAACTCAGCAGCGTCTTTGCGGAAACACTTCTTGCACTTCTTACATGCAAAGATCTACCCCATGGAATGTCAGATTGCTAGATTTGTGCTAACCGGCGAATAGGGGCGTACCATCTCGGCGCTCTTCTCGAGATTGTGCGACTCGCTCTCTTGGTGGCATTCGGCGCAGTCAAACCATTTTCGGCCTAGATATCTTCGGTCAATCCCCTGTGATCAAATATGAAGTCGATTCGAGCGTACAGCAGTGCGAGCGGATGGCCACTTGGGCGTTCAGAATGTGTTTACTGCAAAGCGGGGAGATTATATTAGCTATCAGAATTTTGGACCAAAGGGATGGGAGCATTCTCCAGAATATCACAAGCAGACTTACCACATGGCTATGAATGGCGAAAGAAAAGTGACGGCCAAGTGCGAGATGTCGATGCTCAAGTCCGAAGAAATGCAGACACAAAGTGATCGTCAACTCTCCCGTGATTCCCTCCACTTTCCTCCCCGCCACTCCATTTCATCGACTTTCGCCTTTCAACCCCCTTTTAACCCCTGGATATCCTTCGGAATTCCTCGAACTCTTGACGGTCAAGCTTCGCCTTCTGTTACTGGGCCTTTGCGCCGCTTACGTCGTCTCCTCCCTCCAAACCCAGAGCCTCACGCTATCCCTGTACCCCCAGGTACCTACGAACACCTACTTTACTGCCGCGCTACTATTCGACCCCCAGGAGATATCTCCAAGTCTATGATCCATTCCTTCAGCTGGTATCGGCGACGGATCCGTGATAATGGCCATGGCGGGCACAGGGAAACAGCCGGACAACAATGACGACGCTCCTCCCACTGTATGCATATAGAACTGTTTTGTGGCACACAATAACTAACATGAACGCAGCCACAGAGACCGGTGTCTTCTTTGCTGTCTCACTTTGAGAATCTTTCTCACCGCAGATCTCCCTCTGCTGTAGTTGCCAGCCCGCGCACTTCGACAAACAATTTACTAGCAACTCCGGAGCCTAGCGATGACCCCCGATCCTCCACCCGTGCTTCGCTCGATTTGCCCCGGCCGCATTCCCAATGGACCCCGGCTGAGGAGAGCCCAAACCTGCTTCAGCAGTTGAATGGGGAGAACCCCCGGGATCGGGGGTTCTCCGGTAGACGATATGGCCGGCCCATCTCTATGAACTTCCACCGTTCATCGCCACAACTACCGCCAACCTTGACAGTACAGTCGCCCCAATCTCCGCCGCGCGGACAAGATCGGGATGAAGTTTGGACTCCGCAAGGTGACAGCCGCAAGACTCGGAGTCCAGGCCATCGCCCGAGCGAATCGATGTCCGTCTCGCGGGCACCACCTCGCCCGCTCTCCCCGATACCGAAGTTCGGACCGTCCGTTAATTCAGAGGATACAATCCATCGACTGTCGCCTGGATCTCTCCGCGTCAACCTCACTGGGAGCCCGACGGACCGGAAATTAAAAAGCGCCTCGTTACCACCCCCAGCTAACCGCGCATCAAAGCCCAAAATCCCGGCGAAACCGGCCATGTTTTCTCACTCGGACACCGGCTCGTTGACTCCTCGCCCAGAACGGACATCATCCGATCGAAGTATTTCACCCTTTAGCACCCCTCCTGGTAGCCCGGAGAAGATGTCTAAGCCGCAACCCACTGGGAAGAGCAGTGGCAGGCTAACACCAGCTCGGCCAACGACAGAGCCACCGATTCGGCGTTCCTTTGATGAACGATCGCCTATTCCGTCTACGATCGCCAGACATGATGCTAGAGAAATGGGATTCTCAAGGACCCGTCCTGGCCCAGAGCCCTCACGGGCCACCAAACCTTTGATGGTACAGATTCCATCTGCTCCCGTAGACTCTCCGATGTCTGCTGCAACTGCTCCCCCTCTTTCCGCGCAGAGGTTCCGTGCCAGTGATATTCCCTACGACCGTCCAGGACTTCCTCCTCGACCCTCTGGAGCCCCCCGCCGAACTGGAGTCTCCCCTGCACGAGAGTCTCCCAGACATGCAAGCAGCTCTGTGCAGCTGACACCAATTGCCAGATCTGCACCTTCTTTCCCCCGTGCTAGCGAATCTTCAGCCCCGAAACCCATCCAGCGACAACCTTCTCTACCCCAAGAAACTCACCTGTCTTCTTCTCTTCCAGAGCGGCGCATGGTGCGTACAGACACGGAGGAAGAGGAGCAAGGCGAGGAGCCAGCTATCTCGCGGACCGACTATCCCGATGCTTCAAAAGCTAGCCGTCGACCCCCATGCTTTAAATCTGGACCGAAAGATATCCTGACCAAGTATGATACCCGTTTGCTGGCTGTGTGCGGCAAGTATGTGTGTACGACTGGATATCTGACTCGGGTGTGGGATCTTACAACTGGTGACCAAGTGATGAGTCTCAGCCATGGCGAGACTGTCAAAAGTTTATCTATTGCTTTCAAACCAGGGAAAGGTCTCGAAGACGAGGGCCAGCGTATCTGGCTCGGTACCAGTGCTGGAGATCTTCACGAGGTTGATATTCCAAGCCAATCCATCGTGGCCACCCGCGCATACCCTTCCCGCCGAGAAGTCATCCAAATCTTGCGACACAAGAAAGAAATGTGGACGTTTGATGACGAAGGCCGACTGCTTGTTTGGTTGCCAGATGAGACCGGCGCACCTAACTTGCAATACAGCTACCACAGCCCTTCTGAGCGTGTAGCCAGAGGTCACACATTCTCCATGGTAGTTGATGACAAGCTTTGGGTGGCAGCAGGAAAAGATGTCCATGTATATCGCCCCAATGCAAAAGATGATATCCCATTCAAGGTTTTCAAACGACCTCTCGGTCTTCAGCACTCAGGCGATGTGACTTCCGGGACCTATACCACGCGAGAGGGAGGTCGGGTTTATTTAGGACACGCAGACGGCAAGGTTACTGTGTACTCCTCGACCGATTTCTCTTGCTTGGCGGTGGTCAATGTCAGTGTGTACAAAATCAACTGCCTTGCATTTGTCGGAGACTATCTTTGGGCTGCGTATAAAACCGGCATGATCTACGTCTATGATGTGTCCACCAACCCTTGGACCGTGAAGAAAGACTGGCGTGCCCACGACAGTCCCGTATCTAGCTTCGTGTTAGACATGAGCAGCGTGTGGACCATGAACCGCCTGCAGGTGACCTCGCTCGGCACTGATAATTGCATTCGCCTCTGGGACGGAATGCTCGAGGACGATTGGTTGGGTAAGTAACATGCTTTCATTTGTTAATGGCCTCCACTAATATTTAATAGATGCGCGGATGCAGACTAGAGACGTGGAGTTCTGCAAATTCCGAGAAATCAAGGCTGTCGTCGTGACTTGGAATGCGGGAGCTTCTACTCCTGGTAGTTTGCGAAGCTCGGATTTCATCCGAAATACAGTCACCCCTGAAGACCCGCCCGAGATCGTGATATTTGGGTTCCAAGAGTTGGTTGATCTTGAGAATAAGAAGATCACAGCTAGTAAGTCATACCTTTCTCTTTTTTCCCTCTCTATGTGAGTGTTTGCTGACATCGTTACAGAGAGCTTGCTACTTGGTAGTAAAAAGAAAGATAATGGTGAGAAGGAACACATGAGTCGTCAGTATCGAGTGTGGATTGATCATCTTACTCGTGCTCTTCATGAGTGTATGCCCCTCGAGGAATCCTACGTTCTTTTGCATACTGCCAACATGGTGGGATTGTTTACTTGCGTTTTCGTCCGACACAAGGAACGCCATAATATCAAAAACGTCAGTGCTTCGGAGATTAAGCGCGGAATGGGCGGTTTACATGGAAACAAGGTTTGTGCTATCCCCGGTCTTTGCTACGCTTTTTATCTAATTATACTAGGGTGCCCTTGTACTCCGCTTCGTGTTGGATGACAGCTCGATGTGCTTTGTGAATTGCCATTTGGCGGCCGGCCAAACCCAGACCGCACACCGAAACAACGATATTGCTGCGATCTTAGAAGCCGAGTCCCTACCAGCGGAAAATAACATGACCTTGCGGTCAGATCAGTTCGCCAGTGGTGGTGATGGATCAATGATCATGGACCATGAAGTGTGCATTCTGAACGGAGATCTGAACTATCGAATCGACGCAATTCCTCGGAATGTCATCATCGACGCAGTTCGCCAGAATAACCTACCAAAACTCCTCGATCGAGACCAGCTACTTGCTTCCCGGCGAAAGAACCCTGGTTTCCGCCTGCGCTCCTTCGCCGAGTCACCCATCACCTTCGCCCCGACCTACAAGTACGACGTCGGCACGGACGAGTACGACTCTAGTGACAAGAAACGATCTCCCGCCTGGTGCGACCGCATCCTTTACCGTGGCCTCGGTCGCGTCAAGCAGCTCGATTATCGGCGACACGAGGTCCGCGCCTCTGACCACCGGCCGGTCAGTGCGGCGTTTAAGATTCGCGTCAAGACAGTCCTAAGTCCAGAACGGAACGCGACGTGGGAGTCGTGTAACAAGGAGTTCCAGGATGAGAAGCGCCGCTTGGCTTCTGAAACTAGCATCGAGTATCTCATCACTGTCCTCGGCACAGATCCCCGTCAGGCCCGTGCCTTGATCTTGGGAAAGAAATAGCTTGATCTCTTTCTCTTTTAGAAGTGAAGCGCACTTCTTTTTAATATGCATTTGGGTGGAACATGGTGTATATTGTACGACTAATGATTTTACGATAGATATGTATCATGATGGTTGTTAGAGTCAAAAAGTTTCATATATTCTTTTAGGGTATACCATTTATTTAGGCACCGTACACGAAGAATTCTTGCACTTGTCACCTATATCTGACATCTTAATCATCCTCAATTCCATAATCCTTCAAATCCTCCATTCCAGGCAATGCATAGACAGCACTATGCGCCCCTCCAAAAAACCTCAGATGTCGTTCCCCCCGAAACTCCATCCCAATCTTCTCCAAGACTCTCCGACTGCGCTGATCATTTTGAGCACAGAACCCAAATACCCCTTCCACACCCAATTCTCTCTTTGCATAGGCGATTAGCCCAAGCGCCGCTTCAGTGGCATATCCCTTCTTATTCTCTTGTGGTAGAATAGTGTACCCTACATCAGGCGCTGTGTATGCGTTCTCTCCATCCCCCTTCATTAGGGAGACGATTCCAATCGGTTTGCTTTCGGCCAATGAGGCACCAGCGTGCGGTTTTAAAGACACAAGCATTTGTCCATATCCGTTTCTCTTGTAGTTGGTTTGGACTTTGTTAGTTATGAACTCGTCAATCTTCTCTTGTGTATCAAGGCCTGTGTTGCCTTCTGCCACGATGAATTCATCGGTATTCCAGAGGTGGTAGAGAAAGGTGCTGTGTGTATGGTTTCCGGGCTCAAGGTAGGATATGTGGAGCCGTTCAGTTGGGATGCTGAAATGGGCTGGGATGGAGGTATTCATAGTGGGCATGTAGAGGGTGCCGTAATATAGAAAAAAACTTTGGATTTCATAGACACTGGGCTGTACACTGGCAGATAAGGCCATAAACAAGTAGAAAAGATAAAATCGTGCGCTCTATAAATAGCTAGGCGAGGGAATATTATTAGTAAGTGCGCTAGATCAAAGGTAATTGGTGCTGGGATATTCTGTTAAGAGGAGAACTATAGCTGAAATGCCCTACGCAGAGCTGTTTGGAGGAAAAGGGCCATATTGTCTTATATACATGAGCAATAAATGTCCAAAGTTTTATTCCCGACTCTAGCTAAAAAAATTCCAAACAGTATCTCCAAGACTTGCTTGTGGCATTGCGCCTATAGGTTCTTGTTCTGTCCGGCACGCTAACTCCCACAACAAGCTCTGATCTCTGCAACGGTGCTCAACACCTTCACCAGTGATATCATCGCGAAGGATGTCGCCCTTCTTGTCAAGGATGCTCTTCGGCTTTTCGGGTGTTCCGTCCGCTGAACAAAGCATTGATTGTGCAATATATGACAGCCAATAGCCCGCGTGAGCCGCATCTGCATGTGAAGCGTGATGACTGTCTCCATTGCCGTGATTGGATTTTGTCTTCACAATTTCACGTAGCAAACCGAGACAATGTAGCGACTAAAACATTCTAATGCCCCATCCCGTTCGGTATGTCTCATTATGGCGAACCCAGAGGAACCCGCCATCGTTTGTCGTTGTCAGTTGTTGCCATCATCTCCGGTAGATAGATCTCGGGATGTGGCCCGAGCGGCCCCACTGAACGCGGGCCGAAGGGGAAACCTTGGAAGTGGATTCGCTTATCTAAGGACTTGATAAGGAGGATCAGTGTGAAATGGGTCAGACACGCGATTTCTTTCTTATTGCCGATGGGGAAAGTGTATACCCAACCCGGTGTGATCGTGTGTAGGAAACAACGAACCGTCGTGGGATTGAAGGGTTCAGGTCGAGAGGCCCAATTATCCAGTCATGACCTCATTATCTTGATATCGGCAACAGCTTTGGGATATGTGGCTTGTGTGGGAATTGTGGGGGTTCTGTGGGCGAAAGGTCGCCAATCATTGTCCGCCGTTGTATAGATTTCCTTGGCATATTGATAAAAGCATCCGGCCAGGCTAGTGTACTGGCGATATGCGATCCGGGGTTCGGTTATATTCGCAATGTTGTATGCGAAGACGGCCACTGCTGCAATGTGCTCGTTTAGCTCTCAGCCACGCTGCCCCTGGACGAGATATTCATTCCACGGCTCGATCGCTAGGGATACAAGTTTCTCAACGGCCTGATATAGCCCCTTATGAGCCGGATGTAGATCATCGATGTATGAGGTAATCTGCAACTCCGTTCCGGACTCCTCAAAAAGCTCCACCTCACACGGGAGAATTGGTAATTTGAGCTCCAGCGATAAAAGTCGGACTTTGATTCGGAAGCACTAGGAAAACCAGCCTCGGGTAGATGACCACATTCGTCTATGCTCTTCTGCAAAGCCTGGGAGTCCACCCGTCTATCGAAATGTTTTGGTGCGACTGTCGCATTGTTGTAGGAGCCCAAAATGTTGTGTAGGTCCACTTTCCCTCCATCCCCTAAGACCAGACTTCTTCCGTAAACCAAGGAGATTAACAAGGGATCGAGGAGATTGAATACCTGGCTAGACGGAGAATCCAGATTCTACTGCTCTAGTTCCGGCTCCTGGTTGAGCATAGAAGAAACCAACCGCCTGAACACCCCGGCCAAAGTGTTCAGAGTCGTCGTATCCGATTTACATACGCAGGATCTCCTGTCAAGCACCCGGACATGTTGATTCTCGCGGAAAGAGATAGCTTTATCCTGCATTTCCTTCACGCACCAGGTCCACGCTATTTTGCTCATCAGTGGGGCTGTTGCGACGACCTATCTGTGGCAGTCCGCGACAACCTGGTCGTTGGATATATCCAAATGCCACTCCGGGCGGTCGGTGAGTTGATTCATTACGGCGACCATGGCTAACTCGCGGGCTGTCACTGCAGGGGTTTGTCGCCACTCCACCATTCCATGTGCGAAGCGCGTCTGGGATGGGAGCTCATAATGGATTGGAATGTCTTTGAGCCCCGGGACTTGGAGGGGGATGTGACCGCTGTTGTCTAACGTGATAGGGAAGGGCTTTGGAATTTCTGTATTTGCACCGGATAATTCGTCCATTTTAGCTAGGGCATGTGAATATTAGTTGGAGATTGGAAGGAGTAATGAGGTTATGTTGGCTACATGTAACTAGTTAGGTAGTTAGTGAGGTTGTCCTCCCCTGGTGCCTTAGGGTCCAGGCCACCAAAGTGTTGCTTGCTTCCAGAGATAGTTTCTTCCCATAGTCATCCACATATCGTTGGTATCCTCTATCCTCTCTCTTCTCCTTGGCTCTTAGTAAAGAGTCAGCCTACAATCCGCCAATAAACTACCCGACTTCAAACAACCTACCAAAACTAGATATTTTGCTTTCATGACACTATAGTATTCTTTGAGGGTATAGGCCATTTTCTAGTGATCTGCATAGCTTAACGGCCCAAGCGGGATTATCGGGGACCGGATGTGACAGTATGCAAGAACCGGAGGATTACCCACTGAATAACCCTTCAAACTGCTGTGCATGTAAGCAATACTACTATCCAGTGCGAATGAAACCCTGGGATGATCGACACTGTTATTCCTACGTCAAGTTAATCAAGGTGACATGGTGACATTGACTATTCCCCGCACGAGGGAGGTATAAAGATCAACAGGTTTATTGGATTTAGTGAATTCGTACAGAGAAGCAAAATAAAAATTGATATCATGCTAGGGCCATTGACTCTCGCTGTTGCATTGCCTTTGCTACCCGCAGCAAATGCTCTGGTTAGGAAAAATGACGTTGTGTGTTTTCTCTCTTTGGTGATTCTGAAAAAAAAAAAACCACAGAAATACTGACTCAAAATAGGGAAAATTACCTGCTTTAGGATGGAATTCCTGGAATGCCTTCGGATGCGATATCGATTCCAAGAAGGTCATTACCGCCGCCAATGAGGTGGTCAATCTTGGACTGAAGGATCTGGGTTATGAATATGTGAACAGTATGAACTGAATCTTACGAAAAAAAAAAAAAAAAAAAGGTGCGACTAACTAACCATTCCTAGTCGATGACTGCTGGAGTATCAAGGACAAACGCGACGAGAGTACAAAGCGTATGATTCCAGATCCATCCAAGTTCCCCGATGGTATTTCTGGTGTTGCAAAGCAAGTCCATGATTTGGGACTGAAAATTGGGATCTACAGCAGTTAGTACCCCTACTCTCCTCCGTGCTGATCAAAATTATCTGATATATGCTAGGTGCTGGTGAGACTACCTGTGCTGCATATCCCGCCAGTCTGGGATACGAGAAAGTCGATGCGCAGTCTTTTGCTGAATGGGGTATTGACTGTAAGAATTATTCTCTCCCTGTTAACATGTTACCAAACACTAAAACATGCAGACCTCAAATATGACAACTGCGGAGTCCCCAGTGACTGGGAAGATACATATAATGACTGTGTCCCTGATAAGGGGAACTTCCCTAATGGTACCTGTCCTGATCTCACCAAGCCTGCCCCAGAAGGATATGACTGGAAAACATCAAAGACATACCAGCGGTATACTGCCATGCGCGATGCGCTGCTCAATGTTGACCGCACGATCTTCTATTCACTTTGTGACTGGGGTTATGCTGATGTGAATACCTGGGGCAATCAAACTGGAAACTCGTGGCGCATGTCGCTCGATATCACCCGTGAGTTGTTTGACTGATACCGTGGGAGGGCTAATGACTGACTCTGTATTCAGCGGATTGGGCCCGTATCGCCGAGATTGCCAATGAGAACAGCTTCTTGATGAACTACGCCAATTTCTGGGGTTATCCGGACCCGGATATGTTGGAGGTTGGCAATGGAGATCTTACTATCGAGGAAAATAGGGCGCACTTTGCACTCTGGGCTGTCATGAAGTCCCCTCTGATCATTGGCACCGCGGTACGTGATATCTTTGAATCTCTCATCCTTATCGCAAGATATACTGACAAATGCACAGCTCGATTCCATCAACGATGACCACTTGGCCATTTTGAAGAACAAGTACCTTCTTGACTTCAATCAAGACCCTATTATTGGCAGTCCTGCCCATCCTTATAAATGGGGATACAACACCGACTGGACTTTTGACCCGGTCCATCCAGCAGAATATTGGTCTGGTCCATCGTCCACTCTAGAGGGTACTTTGGTGCTTATGCTGAATTCCGAGGATGCCACTTCTACGCGCACTGCGAAATGGAGCGAGATCCCGGAGCTTAACAGCCATGATGCATATAAGGTTATTGATGCTTGGACTGGCAAGGATCTGGGATGTGTAAAGTCTGAGTATAGCGCCTCACTGAAGAGTCATGATGCGGCTGTGTTGGTGGTCAAGGAACAATGCTAGACGGACATCAATTATGAGTGGATGAATAGACATGCACATATTTGGAATTCCCTTCCCGTGGCTCATCTCATTTCACGCTTGGAATAGAGAGTATAAAGAGTATTGTTCATGGGTATTGTCACGTCTCAAAGAGCCTAAGGCAATATTTGACAATGAAGACAGAAAATACAATAGCTATGTTCAGACCGTCTGTAACTAGAACAAGGATAATTATTCCGTCAATCGGAACTCGTCGCTTGATCCGAATCCAAGGTTGTGTGCCGCAGGACAGTCGAGGGACAAAGAATGTTGGCGTTTGATATTCAGCCAAGTATTTATAGATTCTTTAATGGCTTTGATGACTTTATTGGCATTGTCAGATTCCAAGGAATCAATACCTTTGTGAAAAAAATAACCCACTCGAGTATTTAAGAGCCTCGATGCCCCGGCACAATCCTCAGTTTCACTTCACGTCTACAATCACATTCTAAGTATATTTACTACCATCAAACCCATTCAGATTAACACATTTTATTTACAGACTATCTTACGGCAATCATGCCTTCCCATCATCATTGCGACCCTCATGCCGGGTTGCCCCGAGTTTGGCTGGGTTGGGGCGAGTTGGGTAACCGCAAGGCTCAACTCCAAACTCAGCAGGACGAGTAAGTGACAAAAGACATCCCCCATAAATGGATATATACTTACATTTTCTTAGATACTTCGACAGCCATGCCCCCGATTTCAGGCTGCGGCACCCAGGCAACCGCCAACGTAGCTGGGATGTCCACTTGGATGTGATTCGCAAGTCAACCCGTTGGATCGACTGGCGAATCCACAAGACTGGAGATACCCAGAGACTTGTTCTTCCTGACTTGGTACGTCTTGAGCAGATTGACAGCCTTCTTAATTTCTTTTACACTGGTGACTATTCCGTTGACGAAGGCGACTTGAATCATTACTCTATTAGTGCCTGCCCAGGTGGTTGCGTGACTTGTCCTCAGATCTGTCAGCTCTTGCGCATTCACTTGTCGATGTTCCAAACTGCCCTTCTCCTTAGAATTGCCGACCTCCAGGCTATTGCCTTTCGCAGATTCCGTGATCTTATGGATACTGCTCCTAGTTTCGTTTTGCAGTATGCTGTTCACGCAGTGTATAGTCGGCAGCCTATCCCTGACGGCAGCAACAACTTCCAAATCACTGACTTGAAATCCGTCTCGGACTATCGCCCTGAGTTGGTGCTTCCCGCAGTTCTTAGGTACTGTGGGTATTACCGGATGAATCCTCAGCACATTACAAGACATGGGAAAAAGGTAAGAGTGTTTGGCGAGGCGGAGTTTGCTGAACTACGCAAGAAAAGCCCCAAGTTCAGTGGGGATCTGGCCCTGGGGATTTGGCTGGACACTATTGATATCACAGTCCCCACGATTCAGTTTCCCGGCAATTCAGAGCCCATCATGTCCATGCATCCCTATATGCAAATCACACTCCCGCCACAGGTGGTAAACCGCAAACGCTCAAACTACCAATATGTTACTTACTTGCAGCCATTGCCCTTTAAGGATTTCAGTGACCAGCGACCTTCTAACACACCTTCATGGAACCCGTCGCCCGAAACTACGTCTACTGGGTTTTTTGCTACCTCACGGACCTCATCGCAACGTTCGTCACAACGCACACAGACAAGCGCCTCGTTCAACCAGGGCCGTCAGGCTTCCATGAAGCAGATCCCAGACTTCCCTCACTTGACTGCAGAGCAGACAAAGGATTTTAGTTTCCTTGAGGATGATTTACTTGATACCACTATGGATCAAATCAATGCGCAACTACTGCAAGAATATTCTGCAGGTCCAGCAGATTTGAATAATATTGACTGGACACAGACGATGGACTGGAGCGGAGCGGATATACCAGATATTGACTTCAGCGGGCTTCTGAATGACGATACCATGGGTGAGCCAGATGTGAATGCATCGGACTTGACACAGGCAATGAACTGGACCGACGAGGACTTGGCTAACGTGGACTTCATCCAGTTTTTGAATGACGATAGTTTGGATATGAATATGGATTTAGATATACCAGAACAGAACACTTTTGATCTGACAGGTCTACCGGACCTGACCTCTGTTGATCTAGCGAACCCAACCACTGTTGATCTCCCAGACCTACCCTCTTTTGATCTCCCAGACCTACCCTCTTGTGATCTCCCGGAAATGAACTCTTTTGACGCAGAACTGAATGATTTTGATATGGCCGGTCTACCTGAGATCGACTTTTCTGGACTCACTCAGCAGACTATGGACGAATTCCTGAACCAGCCCCAGTACATGCCGTTCTTCCCTGTAGGAATGGATACATGTGTTGATGTGCCCCAGGAGATTACTTTTGCTCCAGAGCCATTGAACCCAAAACAGATGGGTACACACCCTGTCGCTTCTAGCCTCAGGTACCCACAGCCAATCCAGACAGCGTTGCTTCCTGCACAAGCCCCAGCTGAAGGGAAGGCAGTCCAGTCTGCCAAACGCAAATCCCGTGCATCAGCTTCGCGCCCGCGTCAAGACTCTACTCAAACCCGATACAATTTGAGGAGTCGTCCGAGCGTGAATGATTTGACTGAGAAACTCTAGATGTGAATTCAGGTGAGTCATACTAACACTGCTATTAAGCAGTATTCATTCATTTTTTTTTTTCTGTAACTTTCTTTTTTAGAACATGTTTAGCATTCTAGTAGATAAAAAAAAAGGAATGCCAGGCCCGGGACTCGAACCTGGATAAATGATCCCTTTGAAAGGGCATGGACCTTTGTGTTAACCATATTACTGTCCCCGTTGCCTAAGAATTTTGTTCGGACCCACTTTCTAAGCTAGGATCCCCATTACCTGTTCCTGCCTAGTCAGTAAGTAATACAGATACTCACTGGACTGGAGTACGAATGTAAGCCAATAAAAAGCTACAATTGTGCTGTATTTAACTGGACTGACTGTATACACTTGATAAATTACCACCTTAATTACATGAAGTTGCCATAAAAAGCGGGTCCGGAGATATAACCCGAAGGATTTACAGTTAGATCATCTATACTCCGTCAGCTATACATAGTAGTTTATCCAGCTGTTTTCAATCTATATAGAAACAGGTCAATTAAATCAATTAACGTGTGATAGTATCAGTAGGTGTCAGTACATACTGCCATCTATGTAGTATGTACAAAAACAAATGGGATTGTCCGTTTTCAGTCCCCTCTGTCTTATCTAGGCACCCTTTAAATAGCTGTGGATACAATAAGGTACAACCCTACCGGAGTAGAAGAAACCGGATTTGAATGCTATTCTTCCTATTCGTACCTTTGTACCTTTGTAAGATCCATTTGCTACTATGTTGATATCCCCATGTAACCATGGAAATACCCCGAGTCCCCTACGTCAGAGTGTCTACCCTGAGATATTCTTATTTCTGACCTGGAACACTTAATATCGTCAATTGTCCATTTGTACTTCTTACTTCTTTTTCACATAAATACAAAAACCATGCAATGAGGTGGTTTTATTCCCCGCTTCGGGATTGCGCGTCCCCCCGCGATGCCGCCTCAGCACGGTCGCGAGTCTTCATTTACCTCGGTCTAGCTGTGACTTTACTACTTCTATCATATCAGCTGATTCTCGATCGAGCACCGAGTATAGGTACAAGTTGGACAACTATTCAGGGTATCATTGTGGCTGATGATCGTTTCGTTCCGGATCTTGTACCTGCCGAGAAGGAATTGGTTCTTGCCGCTATACAAGCGAGCAATATGTCCTGGGTCGAGGAACATCTCCCAGAGTGGAGGGTGAATATTTATCGTGCGGATGCGAAACATGGAGACATTGGCTTGACGGTGCCCGTAAATAAGGGTAATGAGGCTATGGTATATCTGACGTAGGTTTTTGATATTGCGACTCGTTCACAAGCTTACTATCATACTAATTGACTTCTGAAACAGCTATATTATTGATCGCTACTGGTCCCTCCCCGAAGTATCAATCTTCCTACACGGCGGCCGTTACCAATGGCATGTCGATAACCCGCTCTACGACTCGGTGATCTCCATCAACCATCTCAACCTCGACTTCGTCCAAGAGGCCGGTTACGTGAATATGCGCTGTGCCTGGAGCGTCGGATGTCCCACCGAACTCGAACCCGCTCGCTATCTTCGCGAGAGACCAGAAGACGCCGGACATCCCACTGCGGTCGAGTATCCTGATCGGTTTATGGAGCTGTTCCCGCGTACGGAGGTCCCGGAGGTTGTCGGGACACCGTGTTGTAGTCAGTTTGCTTTGTCCAAGACGAAGATTCACGAGCAGAGTCTGGAGCACTATGTTCGTTTGCAGCGGTGGTTGATGGATACCGATTTGGAGGCCGGCATCAGTGGCCGGATTCTGGAGTATTCATGGCATAGTGGGTCGCTCCTTCGCGCTGATCTCTTGATCTCTTGCTAATCTTGCCCTTTTACAGTGATCTTTGGAAAACCGGCTCAGTATTGTCTTGATCAACGTCAATGCTATTGCCAGACATACGGTTATTGTAATATGACTGACAGCGACCTCCAAAAGCAGTGGGTATGGCGCGGTTTACAGCTGCCAAAAGGATGGCCAGAACAGAGTGAAACCACGGAATAGCCACGCATGTATATCGCCTGATTATGCTTGAATGAACTGAACATTTCCCTTAGACACCTATGTACTCAATCATCATTTCATGAAGCGTGTTCCTCGTCCGGCTAGACGCATTTTTGACCTCGAGCCAAATGTCCGTACTGACCATTCCACACAGTGAAATTCATCCATATATAAGAGCCTCATCGCCATAAATCCTGTTTACTCAATCGCTTCTGGTGTCCCTGACTACTCCTGGGTCGCTCTTCGTCGGCTGGAACAGCTAGGAACCCACCGAACCCGTTCCCAACGAGCACGCTCTTGCGCGCATCACCGCCCCAAGACCGGCTCAGCTGGGCCTCGTGGAAACTTACGGGGCGCGTACTTGAGTCGCGACGTCCGGGCGCAGGGCTGGGGTCGTATGGTGTGAAATTCCATTCAAACTCATCCAGACCCTTGCTGTACACATTCAAGGGCTGCGAAAGACCGCCCCGCATCTGCGGCCCATTTTCACCACCGCCGAAGAGTCGTGGTGGAGGCATGAGCAACAGTGTGTCAGGGAATGAGGAATCGCGGACGTATAACTCTCGGAGTGCTGGCAAGGTTCGAGACACCAAGGACGAGATAAGGTAGGTATAGTATGAGGATACCACCGGTGGCATTCCATGATTATCGATTTGGGATGTGAGTTCATAGTGTAGGAGATGCAGCGACTTCGATGCCATGGGAGGAATCTGCTCCATGGGGAATGAGCGAGAGACCTCCTGGACGATAGAGAGGCTCTCGAGCCGAGGAGCGGCGGACATAATATTATGTAGTTCCGATGGAACAATGCCAGTAGAAGATAATATCAAAGATGTCAAATTCGCTCGGTTCGCTGGCATGGAAAGGAACGTGGCAAGCCCGCTTGCCGTGACATTAGGGGTATCGCGAAGTGTAAGAGACTGAACTGACGGGAATGGCGGAAGAGGAACGTTCACTGCAAATGCAGAATCGTCAAGCCAATCAAGATCTTCGAGCGTGAGTTCACGAAGATGGGGGAATGAAGCGAGTCCGCCACGCAGAATACTAGCCTCCATTTGGACTCCAGATATCTCGAGCACCTCCAAATTCATCCACAGCTGGGATCCTGGCAGACGCGAAAAACTGCCCTCGGCACCTCGCCGATAGGCCATCCGACGCAGCTCGGGGCATCGAGCCATCAACTCCTGTTTCAATGCTAGACATGATGACTCGTCGCTGTACAAACCCACCGGCAGGTCAACAAAGCGGAGATTAGGAAGGACGGAGATAGTTCGGGCGACGTTGGCTTTGTTGGCCTCGCGGGTCATGTATGGCATTCGGAGCGACAACACCATATTCCCTAGCCCCTGTGACTCTCGCACTGTTCGCATAAACATTTCCAGACGGACCTGCGGGGCATCGATTGGATCGCCATTGCGGTCAAAGAACGAGCGGCGTTTTCGTTTGGCGGCTAATTCGATTTCGAGTTGGCAGTAATGGACGGGGTCGATTCGGACGTTTGTATAACTAGTAGCAGGTTGGCGTTAGTCTCACATTTGTCAAAAGGCCGGAGATCTCTCCTACAGAAGCGCCCGCGCATCCAAAAACCACCGCTTGCTCACAAGCGAGCAGTGCGCCAGGTCGCGCATATCACATAGCATACAGCCATCGCTTGCAGATTCCTCGGAGGTACCATATGTGTTATCGACTGTGTGAGGACAAACAAAGGAGAAAATACGCGCCAATACTGGCCGAGGTAGGTATTTTGTGTAATCTCGGGACACGTTAACATTAACGCGGGGCGATGGCGGGTCGGTCGTTCCACTTCGCCGTGAGCTTCGTCGCAGCTTGTTAAAAAGGCCCATTCTTGGAAGATGTGGAAGAATGTAAATGATAGAGGGGGGAAGATGTGAGGAACAAAGCGCGTTAATGCAGGGTCTTAAGGGTCATAGCCCGCCTTCAGCTCTCAGCCCCTAACATGAAACACCCACCGGCGTTTCAGTCTAATTTCATCACATCTTTGTATAACTTCAACTTGCAAGACCTGGAAAGACATGACTTTTTCATCGGTCAATATTTGAAATATTATTACGGGCGACGAAGTGTGCCACCCGAGGCACAACTCTCTCATTGGATACTGCCAATATCACCGCTCTGAGCATGTATGCTAATATTTGTATACTGATTTCAATGTCTCTTTTCTATATTCTTTGTGGATTTTATACTTATCTAGCTTTTTCCTTGATTTTTTACTATATAATTCATTTAATCATAACCTTAGAAACTGGGAGGGGACTACAGTACTCCTATGGTTGGACGCTAGTTTAGGGCGGCTACTAACTAGTATCAGGTAGTTGACATAAAGCCAACACTCTCATCCCTTATTGCTCACAAATTGTCTCAAAATCTAATCCACACCGCTGCGTGATGAAATCGATTCTCCTGCAATTCCTGTCTCTTTGCACCGCTGCACTCGCTATTCTTGGCAAGACCAACCAGTAAGAATTGCTCGTCCGCGAGGACGTTATGGTCCAACAAGATAAGGTCCCCGGCCATAACGATGCCATATACGACATCGTGCTCGAGGAAGACCAGATATTGAAAATGGACTTCCTCGAGATTGCCCCGACGCCCACTCTCGCGTAAGATCCTCCCTCTCCTTAAGGTGCAGCTTGATAACGTTTATCCTGATGAAGCGACCGTGTCTTCTTCGCCTACCTGTGCGGTTATATACCTGAGTCTAAAAAGAAGGAGCTAGCACTTCCCGACGAGGGCCTCGTTAATGTGACCCTCACTATGAGTAGCTCTGTCGTCTACGCGGATGGTAGTCACGACGATGAAAAATCCATTGCATTTCCGTTGAAGATTACACCCTTTAAGGATCCAGCCCACCTCACTATTCGCGATTCCTGTGGAGTTCAGGTTGACTATATGCTTACCAGCGGTCGTAGTGATATTTAGTAGATATTCAGATTCTTACAATGTTTTTGAGGAGCGGGATGTGGACCTTTTAAGGTCGACGCGAGACTCGGAGATATAGACAATACGTGCCTATTTACTATGTCGTTGACACAATGGTTAGAGGGGAGGCTTAAATAGTATGTTTAGAATAATCTACAAGCTCATTCCCTAATTAGGATCTAAAATGCGTGCTCGAAAGCAGGCTTACTCCGTAGTTAGCGATCAGTGTCTACTTAGTGGAGGCCTATACGTATATCGGGCCCCTATACGATAGCGCTAAGGACATCGTTTAGGGTAGCCGGGAGGTACTTCTGTCACTGTGTTTGTAGATAACTAGATAGTTCGGGAGTCTCATCTCCTTTCCAATATAACTCTCTCCCTCCTGACTTTCTGGGACTACACTCGAGTCCCAATAGGTATGAGCGCCTTGCTTGACCCGCTATTGATTGCGATTCATTAAATCGAGGAGGTTTACTTCTATCATTGTTGACCCGTGCAGAGAGAGTCCGGGAGATCAGATAACTTCATTGGACGAGAATCGAGGCCCCACTGCGGGTTTGACTCCACAACCAATCATCGACTGACAAGATCTAGAGATCGATTTACGAGGGTACATATCTCGTTGTCGCATTCAATGTGTGGTCGATTTTCGAGAATCAGAATCACACAAAAAGCAGAAATTTCTAGGGCTCCTGCCTTAAAACAAAGACTTTCTGGGGTTCTTTGACCCCACCATCGATACCTCCACACCTCCTTTGCTCGAAGCTTGACAACAACGTCCTGACAATGGCGTAGACTCCGCTGTGGGGCCCTGGTGCCGTGATAGGAAAAGATTGGAGGGTTGTCGAGGATGCTGACCAGTCAGCGATTGGAGGGGACCAAGGAGAAGGCCTAGGCAGCTTCGTGCGCTACAAGATTGAGCCAGTCCTCAAAGAAAAGGAAGATTTCGACACATGACTCGATACTATCACAAAAATCCTTCGGGGTCACAACCTCCATCGCCTAATCAACAAGCAGGTCGACAAACCAGAAACTCCGTCAATGCCGACAAATGGATGAAGATTAGTATGCAAGTCAGAGCTTGGCTGCATTGTGGCTTGGACCCCGAAATCGCAAAGAATGTCACGTCTACTGGTGAGAGGACCACATGGGCGGACGATTAGGGGGTTGTTGATGCTTAAATGCCTTATTTAGCACCTCTTTCCACACCGCTCTATACATCGTATTGTAATTATTCATACACAATATGAAGCTTTTCATCTCTATACGAATGTGGAGATATCTGCATTCGTATAGAGATGAAAAGCTTCATTTTTGACACTTGTGAACGCCAGCAGAATTAGGTTACTTTGATTAAGAAGGCATATATAATAGTAATTCAGGTATCTTAATTTTCTCCCGTTCTAAAACAAGGCATTCAGGCACCAAGTCCCCTAAAACTGGGATTTGAACCCAGGGAGCGCTATAAGACTGGGTACTGTAACATTTAAATGATGGAGAACGCACATGACATCACTGAGCCAACAGGTTCATTTTCGAGAAATTCTTGCAATTCTTGAAATTCTTGGAATTTAGTGGAGCAATCACTTACAATTCCTCAGTTGAATCCATATATGATTGGTGCGGTCATTGACATCATTGTGGTTCTTGTCCATATATTCGAACAGGCCTGGGAGACCGAGAAAAGCAAAACATCTACTTCAACTGCCTCACTCAATTCTCATATTACCAAAAACCACACACATCATGACTGAAGCAGACCGCCACTTCTCCAATCCTCTTCCCTGTCCGGCCCATACCAACAGACCCCAAGAATCTACCCCCGAAGCACACTGGAAGCACCTCCCACCATATGAGGCACAACCCAAGGAGGACTTCGGTCCCATCAAGTGGCGTGGAAAGTGCCTCTGTGGAAAAGTCACCTATCTCTTGAAGCGAGAGAAACCACTCAACGCCAAATACTGCCATTGTCGCGTGTGCCAGGTTACCCACGGTGCTCCCCTTCAGTGGGCGGCTATTTTCCACAAGGATGACGTGTCATTCACCAGTGGCACGAGCAGTCTGGTCTTTTATTCTTCTACACATCAAAATCAAAAACATATGTTGCCTACCAAGGTGTCTTGTTCCAATTGCCGGACACCGATCATGGACGAAGGCCGAAATATGTGTTTGATGTTCCCTCAATTGATTGAGATCGAGGGATCCAGTGAGGAACAACGAGAGAAGAGGGAGGTTTTTAAGCCAGCGTATGTTTATATGCTCCTACTCAATGGGTGAAAGCCAATAATCCTGCTAGATGTCATATCTTTTATGAGTCACGCATGCTAGACTTCCATGACGGTCTCCCCAAGTGGAGTGGAATGGAGCATCACAGTGACCGGATGGATGACGAGGGTAACCGGATCGTCGAGAAGTGATTTCATACTCCAATGGGCGAGATGAGATGTAAGTATTATGGGACGGGGGAATGGACCTAAAAGACATTGTATAAATAGGTAACAATATGAGTATAGAAGCCGTAATCGTGCCAAGCGCCCAACACTTTTTCAACACCACCCTTGGTGTGTGTTGGGCGCTTGGCACGATTATACGGATTCTCGCTATTCTACGCTTTCGTGCTCACCCCTTGCCGCTTTTGGAGCGGCCAAAGGTTGGATGCCTGATTCTGCAGGAATGTTGCCTTATTATCCTAAGTAATCACCCCGGGGAAATCCACATCCGCTTAAAATCCAGTACTGCCATGTATGATCTTCCATCCTTCCAGTCCTATCAGGCCTGGCACAACCCAGCGTGCACTGACACCGGGTCACTACTTGCACTCCCCCAGTCAGCTGCCCCAATAACCTTACCAGCGTCCGTACCACCATCGGCTCGGATCTACCGAGACATGAGCATTTCCTCCGCATGGAAAGAAAGAAACTTACATAGTACTGTGGCTCGACAAAGTACCACCAATCATTACTCCGGAATGCCTTATCTAGCGACTGACTCACCGGGTCGTTCCAACCGGTATTGCGAGTGTCGAAGTGAGCATGCTTCGACCACGCCACATACACCTTGGGGTGGTCATTATTCCGTACACCGTTGGGGTCTTTGGCACTTCCAGCGTTGATCTCGTCGGTCGTTAAAGTGTTTTGGATATCGCCCCAGGCCAAGTTGCTGTACCCGCTATGCGCAGAGAGCAGGGCACGCGATGGCGACCACATGTTGTTGTCATCCCGAGAGTGGATAATTATCACTCGCTCCCAGTCGCTGGAAGTTCGAACGGATGTTAGAGGTGGGCTGAACAAGCGTTCATTTCACTAGGCCGAAAAGACGGCCACTTACTATTCATGTCCAGTCTTGATCGCACCAAAGTTTGCGCCGTCTTTCTCATAAAAGAGATTGTATGCGACGCGCACCTCGCTGTCGGTACATTGCTGGTATGTATAATAAACCGGAAATTGAGGCCCCGGATTCCCGGCGTCAACGCCAGGTTGGCGGCAATTGCACCCGACGTCCGGGTACTCACACGCCCCTACACCCGGTGTCTTGTGGGCGTCATCGTAGACATCCGGCGTGTCTGGTGAGCCGCCATATGCCCAGGTTGGATAACAAGGTGGCTGATCCTGAGCCTGGCCAAAGAACCACATGGGCGCGTAACGATCTGCTAGATCTAAGCCGCCTGCCTCGAGGAGTGAGCCCATCTCATCATTTGTTATCTGCGAGAAAGCCGTCACATGGCTGGCGGCCATGACGGCCAAGCTAGCTCCTAGCTTGAGGTGCATGGTTGGACTGGTTTGAATGTGGGAGTTGTGGGAGTGCGACTGATATTTGAATGAGTGCCAATATCTCACTTCTTATATAGAAACTTGGAGACAATATAGTCGGGAATATCACACTAAACATTGAGGGGACCTATTTCCTAAAATGGCGATGAGCTGCTAAAGGTCACATCGTGGCATGGGGGTCTGCATTAGCTCCAGGTATATCCCGTGTGTGCTGTAGATCCTATTAGTCGCCAAGCTGTGCAGGAACCATGTTGGTCATCTTATTTGGGGGCCAGTGGCGGAATCATAGGACGCGGAACAAAATTTGAGCGATTTCGCTACATAAATGCGCTTGTAGAGTCAATTTATGCGTTAAATCACTACTGCTTACCCTTATCTGGGGGCCAGTGGCGAGGACCTATGGAATTGACGTCGAAAGTGACCGCGATTTGTCCTATCCCAAGACAAATCAACAGTAACCCATCAATCAGGCCTTAAAATCACAAGTTGTAGGACAGTCCATAAACAACGAGCTACGCACTTCCTACTTAAATTCCGATCCAAACTTCTGTGCCAAGACGAGAGACAGTAGTGAGTCAACACCAATTGAGGCGAATTCCGTTTCGTCTGTCAGCCCATGGAGGTCAATCTCCGTTTCTGTGGAGATCAAGACCATAGCCCGTTGGACGATTGGGTTCACTGCAGAATAATCTGGGGAAGAGACTCGCGTAGGAGGGGTTGAGCTGACACCGTTTTCACTCTCATCTTCGTACGACTTAGTTCCAGGAGAAACTTCTAGATGAAGCAAAGCGGCTGGCGCCCGAGGACATGGTTTGTTGCTTCCATCCATGGATAGACGACTTCATGACCAACTGAGACCTCCTCCAGACCAGGCGGACTGGAAAGCTCATCCAAAAGCATTCGGGGGGAAGAGCGGAACGTGATACCCTCAACCAAACCAACAACATTGCCCTCAAAAAGTCCGGGCTGTTTGTGAATGGGCATCATCTTCACATAGCTCACGTAACGATCGTCAGCCACCAATGGCCGGGCAAAGCGCATGGAATTCCAGCCCGGTGTGACATAAAAGTTCTTTCGGGGATCAAGGGCGTTTCCACCGTTCAGGATAAATTCTGCCAAATGCGCGACGCTGTCAATGTGGAACGACGGTACTGTCCACTGGTCTAGTCGCTCGTTGGCAGCAAGAGTGACCTCGGCTGTAGCTTCCATGCCGTGTATAACTACACTTTGCATCCCGCGATACTTTTCTGCGTAGTCGACCAAATTCGCAAAGAGATCATATGTCAAGTCTTGCGATAGTCAATTTGCCTTGCCCTCGGAAGCTTCCTGCCGCAAGTTCTCAATCCGACTAAGTACCAAGTGGGTTGTAGGGGCCCATTCGTTAAGCCAGGATACATGATCGCCCCATTCTGCAATCGCAGTAGCAAAGCAATCTGGAGCCCGTTGGCCTTGGTCATTTAGAGTATAGTCATTTTGGGTATACTAGAAGAGTTGCACAGAGCCAGTAGACCCCTTGGCCATAGCACGGACCTGAATCCACTGGGGCCGGGACCAATCTTTTCTTGCGATGAGTCCTTGCTTGACTTGCATGTGTTTAGTATTGGTAACTGGGACGGTTTGGTTCGGTCTCATACGAGAGTGGAGGTAGTTGGACAGGGTAAAGGCAACGTCTGCATGAATGGCCTGCGTGAGGCACAATACAATTTCAGTGTTGTGAAAAGAAAACAGGCATGATGGCAGAGATTAATATACCGATGTGGCTACTGCACACTGGTTCATTCTATGGCCGTTCATGGCCTCACAGAAACCGGGCTGTAAGATGTCGGACTCAATAGTTACTTCGGCACGATCCTTTGCAATGGATTCCTGGACGAGATACTGGACGAGTGCTGTTTGTGAGGGAAAGGGAGCCAGGCGGTTGCAGCTCTGTGATGAATTGTCATTTTTCGCTAACATTCAAGTCCCGTTGTATGGAAGCCAGTAATTCTTCAAATTCCACTGATAGGCCGGGAGATCCAAGAGTCTCAGTTGGGACTTGAAAGGTGCATGCCAACTCTGCCAATTGAGCTTCAACCCCAGACAGTGTAGCTCCGTCATGCCACGAGCAAAGCTGTGCCAATTGTCTTCATCCCGTTTGAGGCTGGCCACCGTGATTGTTCCCTCGGACATCATCTTACGAACAAAGTGGCTATATGCGGCATGAGGTCCCACTTCTACCCAGACTGTCTTGCCATCAACCAATCCCAGGTCTAGCGCGTTGCTGAGAGAGTCCACGAACTGAACCGGGTTTCGCGTTGCGTTGCGCATGTATAGTGGGTTGAAGGTGCTGCCATCGAACACATATCCACCCATCAGAGGGGATATGACAGGGAGATTAGGCTCTTTGAAGGTGACGCCACCGCACATTTTCTCATATTGATCGAGAATGGGGTCCATTTGAGCAGAATGGAACGCGTAGGGAACGTTGAGCTCAGTACATCTGTACCCAGAGTCTTCAATACAAAGCCGGATTCTGGCAATCTCCTCGACAGATCCACTGAGAGTGATGTCACGGATTCCATTGAAATATGCTACCTCGTACGGCGTGCCAGCCAGAGCCTCGTGGATTTGGTCGATGGTTGCTCGAACCGCCAGCATAGCATGTGTGTTGGGGGTGCACAGCTCCTGTATAAGTCGCGCTCTTTCTCGCACGAGATAGATGGCGCATAAAGCGCGGAGAATTCACCAAGGCTTGCTCCGACAACGGCACAGGGCTTAACAATCCCAGTGAAGCAAGCTGTTGAATTGGAAAACGCATAATGCTCCGGGTGGCTCTCGTAGTACCTGCTTCTGGTCAATAAATCGCAATGATCCCTCCCTCCACGGCAAAGGTATCCCTATCGTTGATAGGTTGCTGGCAAGGGTCAGGGTCGTATTTGTAAATCTCATCTTTCAGTTCCGGATCCATTCGCAGCAGATCTCGCACGCCTTCGGCGTGATCGAGATGCCAGTGTGTTAATAGCACCTTGCAGATCTTGAAATTCAAGAAGAATAGAAAAGAGAAGGGAAGAGCGGTGACGAGTCTTTTATGTCTGGAGGTTATTGGGGTACTAAGCCCGAAAGGGCAAAACTAACTCGAACGGGCAATTTACTCTACCGTTTGGTTTATACAGCAATCCAAACTCAAGGAAGTTGATGATATATTTGATATATCGAAGTCAAACCCATCTATGTACTACTGGGGGAACCTTGAACATCGCTTTGGCGGGGAGCGAACTCCCAAAATCATATACTGGATTCCTCCCAACGTGCTTGCCCCAACATGCATGTTCCGATTTGCTTGCTCTCCAAATAACTTTGTCTCCATCACTTTGAAACATGTCTTCCCAAGATAACCTGCTTTCCATCCACATCACGCGGCTCATAAGCAAGAGCTGCAAATCCGGCTTCGGCTATGTCCTTGTCGTAATTCTCCATGACCCAATGAGCCATCATGTCCATGCCAGCGCATGCACCACCTGCAGTCCAAAATTTGCCGTCGATGACCCAATTCTTTTCGGCTGTCCACTTGACATTGGGACTAAGTCTCCTCGCAAGCGTCATGGCTTCGTGATTCGTTGTGGCATTCAGACCATCGAGGAGACCCAATGCGGCCGCAACCATTCCACCGGTGCAAGTGGTGAATACGGTCTTGACTTCGTCCGCACGCTCGCACACGAATTGTGCTATCGCTGGCGGGATCTCATTGAGATAAGTTGGTGAAGGCCCACCAATTAGGAGGTAGTCAAGTTTAGGACAAGCAGAGACAGTGGCTGTAGGCTGAGATTTGAAACCTGCAGAATGGATTACAGGGTCCATTCCCTCGCCGATATAGTGGAATTCGATATCAACACCACGTTCAGCTATGTCGGGATTTCCGAATCCCCGTAGACAAGAAATTGAGGAGCTGGATAGAACATCCACAGGTCCTGCAACGTCCATGAGTTGGAATGGTATCAAGATAACACCAAACTGGATAGGCGCCATGGTTGATTGACAGAGAGGATGAAAGTACAGATGAAAAAGGGTAGAAAAAGGGCCACATCAGCTCTTTATATACACAAAGACAAAATCCTTACACCCTAATCACCTCCAACTATTTCCTCCCATATCGCGGGACGGAGGTAAAGTTGTTCTTGTTCCGCTCAAAGGACGCTTCTTGGAAGGTGGACCCCTATAGAATTGGAGCCAATGGATCTCCACGGATACACCCGTGAACTTTAATTATGGCTTAGTCATCGCGGACCGGTGACACAAACTGAACGTTCCGTTCCGTTCACGTGCCAAGCTCGGATTTCATAGCGACAAGTTGGCATCAATACTACCTAGGTAGGATTTAACGCCTTGCTGTGTAATAGCATATTTTCAAAAAAAAAACCCCTTTTTTCAGTACCACTTCCTATTCGAGCTGAGCTCAGGTCTCCAACCTTGAGATTCCCTGCCTTGCCAACCAATCAGGGAACTAAATGAGAAGACTCAAGAGCAAGGCTTCCCAAGCATGCGAAATATGCCGCTCGCTGAAAGTCCGTTGCCTTCCTAGCTCCCAGCCTGGCACATGTCTAAAATGTGTGACATCCAAAAAAATTTGTGTATTTCTGGAGCGGCCACCGCGGCCACCACGTCACAGGCCAAAGCATACCTCAAAAGCCCGAATTTGTGCGCTGGAGTCGAAGGTAGATACTCTGATTGCTTTCGCTAGTCAGTCCCAACTGGTTCAGGAGCATGGCCCTTCACAGCGTGAGGTGGGGTCTCTGGAAAATGGCTTGTCTACCTATAGTTCATCTTCTAGCCACGGGGAACGCCGAGATTCCACGCCCAACAGCAGTCACAACAGCACAAATCTAAGCTCTGTCGATCAGCCTCTTTATAGTTGGGATGACTATCCTAAAATCAATGGCATATCCTGCCCCGAACTACTGCTTGGGTGTGGCCTGTCTATCGATGATGCGGATGGATTCCTCGGACGGTTTCGCACCATGACCTCTTACTTTCCATTCTTCGTGGTTCCCTCTCAGGCCACTGTTTTGACAATGTGTAAAGAACAGCCTTTCGTCCTAGTGGCAGCATTGGCAGCAGCGACCTCCTCAGACAGGAAATTACAAAAGTCCCTTGGTGACAAATTTAGAACCTACGCTCTCCACACTGTTATGGTTCACAATGAAAGGAGCCTAGATCTCCTGAATGGAATCCTAGTATACTTGGCCTGGTGAGTAGACTTTGCCCATTTGATACTCTTGGTTCTACTCTACTAACCAACGCTTTAGGTATCATTTTTATTACGTTCCCAAGAAAGAACAGTTCAATCAACTGCTCCATATCGCGATTGGCATGGTTGGGGACCTGGGCCTGAACCTTAGACCTGCCGATGCAATGGGTGCGAAGATGGGACTTCGACTGGCACATTATCGCAAAGTCTCTACACCTTTGGCGAACCACGATGAATTTTTCAGCCGAGAAGCCCGCCGAGCATACTTGGGATGCTTTTATATTTCGAGCGTGTAAGTAATTACCTAAAAGAGGCCTGCGACTTTTGGATCCTATTCTAGTAAAACTATCATCATCGTTCAAAAACAGAGGGTGTATGGCTAATCAAACCTGTCACTATTAGCACCAGCTGGGTCAAAATGAGGTCAAATAGTCTCCAATTCCAAGGCTATATGATTGAATGTGCGAGATCGTTGGGTCAAGAATTGGAGCATGCGACGGACGTATTGCTTTTACCACTAGTCCAGCTTCAAAACATGGCCGAGGTGAATCATCGCAGTCTTTCGACTGTTGATAACACTATACATGACCACATGAATGGCCTAGATCTTGAAATGAAGGTTCAGTGCTTTCAAACTGAATTCAAGAACTGGAAGCACTCGCCCCCACTCGTATATGAGCAACCAAGTAAGTTCAATTGGTCGAAAGTCCAATGGAACCAATGCTAATTTCCCATAGACGGGATGGACCTAGCTTGTGAGGTTGCTGTAATGCATGTTTATGAGATGGATATAGTCAATATCTGTGCACCGAAAATGCAGCAAAAGGCCGATCCCTGGAGATACTCAACAAGCTCATCTTCTACCTCTCCAATTCGCCTGGAAGTGCTTTTTCTCTGTTTGAAATCAGCGGGACAGGTTGCTCAGAATTTCCTCTCCATCCCAGCATCTGAATACGGCAGTCTCTCTTACATGCAGTGGTCTGGCATCATATATGCCATCACCCTCATTTATAGACTGACAGTCGGGATTCCCCAGCTTCCTGATTGGGATGTTCGAGTGGCGCGAACGACCGTTGACTTTGATTTTATTCTAGATGCTTTGTGCAGTCGCTTCAACAGTGTATTCCTTCGTGGTCACGTCGTATTGGAGAATGGAGACCTATTCTCGATGATGGGCCCAATCTTTGGAAATATAAAGCAAACATACGACCGACTCAAGCAGCTACCGCAGAATGATAGTACAGATGACACCAGCCCAGTTCATGCCACTAGCTTTTTGCCCTCTGCGCTCGAGCACCAGCATCCGTGCCCTACATTGCAGACCTGACGGATGCGGGATAATATCTCAGTGCAACTCTCCTGGTAAAACTTTTGTCAGTAGATATACTATCGAGTATTGTACTCAAAAACATCAATCATTGCTTCTAATTTATCTTCACTCATTTCAATCTGCCGCAAACTGGCCAAAAAGCTTCCACCTCCAGACTTGCTACCTTTCACCGAAACAGACATCATAATTTACCCATGCCCCCGCGATATGTGGGGTGAGAGAACACTACGGCCCGAAGACATTGTCTGGAGCTCCGAGATTACTACCGAGTTTCAGCGACATAGCTCCGGGCATGCCGATCGTTTAGCTGTTCTCACAATAATGTGGGGTGAGAGTTTGTATTTCCCCGAAGATTGGCAGAGCAGTGGAATCCCCATGGGGCATGCCAAGTATGAAATGTGGGGGACTCTCTTAGATATAAATTTTGTTGAATTTCCTGATGGAACAAAATGAGTTATCTTTGCATAGTGAGTTCTATCAAATTCCAAGATGAACATTTTCCTCGTGGTCCTGGGTCTTCTCAGGACGGCATCCGGCCTGAACTATACCGAACCATATCGTCCTCAATATCATTTCTCCCCTGCCCGAAACTGGATGAACGATCCTAGTGGGCTGTTATATCATAATGGCACCTATCATCTTTTCTTCCAATATAACCCCGCTGGTATTGAATGGGGGAATATGTCGTGGGGTCATGCAACGAGTAGAGATTTGACCCATTGGGAAGAGCGCCCTGTTGCTCTACTGGCTCGCGGATATCCCGATAATGTCACCGAGATGTACTTTACTGGAAGTGCGGTAGCAGATGTGAACAACACGAGTGGCTTTGGGGTTGAGGGAAAGATTCCTTTGGTTGCCATGTATACTTCTTCGGTACGTATGGCCATTTCACTTATCACTCATGGAGACTGACAACCGTTTTTCATAAAGTATCCCGTCTCTCAAGATCTGCCAAGCGGAAAACATGTTCGCGCAGAGCAGCAATCTCAGTCAATCGCCTATAGCCTCGACGAAGGCGAGACATGGACAAGATATGATGCCGAGAACCCCGTGATCCACAACCCGCCCTCTCCTTATGCAGCAGAATTCGAAAACTTCCGGGATCCCTTCGTATTTTGGCATGACGATACACAGAAATGGATCTCCGTCACAGTTTTGGCTGCAATCCACAAAATAGCAATATGGAGTTCGGACAATCTCAAGGAGTGGTCTTTCGTCAGCGAATTCGGACCCTACAATGCTGTTGGCGGCGTATGGGAATGTCCCAATATGTTTCAAATGCCCGTCAAAGGACACCCATCAGCCAAGAAATGGGTCATGGTCTTAGGACTCAATCCTGGTGGACCACCTGGCACGGTCGGATCAGGCACGCAATACTTTATTGGCGACTTCAACGGGACAACTTTCACGGCTGATCCTGCTAGCACCTATCCAGGGAATAAGACTGCCAACTGGATGGATTGGGGTCCGGACTTTTATGCTGCGGCCAGTTATAATGGACTTCCTAATGGAGACGTGGTCCAGATCGGGTGGATGAATAATTGGCAGTATGGTGCGATGATCCCAACAAGCCCTTGGCGAAGCGCAATGTCTGTTCCCCGTCAGTTGTCTTTGAGTGTGGTGAATGAAAAGGTGACCCTCCTTCAACAGCCACATCATAGCTGGCGGAGTGTTGCCGATCACCATACCTTGAAACGTGACTGGAAATTTGTATCGAAAGGATCAACCAGACTTCATTCCCCAGGCAAGGCATTCAAGATCGACTTGAGCTTTTCTGACCATGACTACGACGATTCGCTGGCAGCTAAGTTTGCAATAGCTGTTCGTGCTAGCTCTGACTTCAAGCAAGAAACACTCATCGGGTACAACTTTACCAGCAAAGAGGTCTTTGTGGATCGGCGAAATTCAGGAGATGTATCTTTTGACAAGACGTTTGCAAGCTTGTATCACGCACCATTGTCAGCGAGCGCGGATAAGCGTATCAACTTGCAGATCTTCGTGGATTGGTCTAGCGTTGAGGTCTTGGGGGGTCAAGGAGAGGTGTCTTTGACGACTCAAGTGTTCCCCGAGGGAAATGCAACTGAAGCGCGGCTTGTCTCGGATGGAGTGACTCGGAATGTCAGGCTTCAGATCAACGGGATGAGTTCAGCGCACTAGAATATCAGCCTTCCAAGGATGTGATCCTGTTAGGTGCACCTTCCTATTTGGGAAGACTTCCATAGTTCCTTCCCTGTTAACGACCGAGGAAGTTCAATAGAACGGTGCTATCACCCTTCAGTTGATTTCTTCTCTTTTTCCACAGTCCGGGTTAAACTAAAGCTACAAACTAGCATTCAAAAAGATCCACTTGGAAGACATCTTCATTTGATTAGGGGAAAGGCCAACAGCAAGCTTGAAATATAAAACTTCACTCATAGTACGGCTTCGCGTTCATGAGCTTGTAGGCAACATCCTTGTCATGGCCAAAAATCAAGGTTGCGTTGTACAGTCTTTGAAGTCTGCGAATCATGTTAAGACTGCGATACCACGCATTGTGATCTCTTGCTAATCCTCCGTGGGGATGACCCAGGTCATAGTTTTCTGCAACGTGAAACTGGTCCGAGGTCCAAATGAATGGTCCATCGTTGGCAAGATTGACTTGCATAATGCACAGTCCAGGTGTGTGGCCAGGTGAATGGTGGAGGGTTATGCCTTGGAAAAGGTCAAGCTGTGACTCATTGAAGGTGTTCCACTTCAGCTCTTCGAGCAGCATATAGTGTCCCAGGTAGACGCCTAAGTCTGCCCCGGTTGCTACCGCCCAGCAAGCGTGCTTGAATTCTTCTTCGTGGACGTAGATTGGGACATCGGTGTTCGCGAAATGCTCCAGTCCCCCGGCATGATCAAGATGTAGGTGACCAATGATGACTGCTTTCACGTCTTTGATGTCGTTTCCAGTGGCTTTGATAGCATTGGGGAGTTTATTGTTTTCAGAGTATTCAGTTCGCGGAAAGACATCTGTGATTGGCGCTGGCCATTTCTGTATGCTGTTTAGTTATATGTATTAAACATTGTGATCCAATCTGACATACCACGTCTAGATCCTCAGCACAGCCCGTCTCATAAAGAATGAGACCAACTCCCGGGTACTCAATCAGAGCCGAAAGGAGCACTAGATCTCGACGTTTGTTCACTGGATTAAGGTTGCTCACGGAGCTTGCATTTCCACCTCGGAAGATCCTGTGTACAGTTAGTCGGAAGCATACGATTTCACATCCTAAACACCAACCATGATTCATCTGCTTGGAGGGTACCCAAGTTCAGAATATGCATCTTTGTCCCAGCAGGACACTTGAATGCTGGGACCGCTGCGGACACTAGCAGAGAGGCGGGATTAATAGAGGAGCTCATGTTTGAGGATATATGCAAAGAGTAATTTGAAGGGTTTCAAAAGATTCCGGAGACGAAGTGTCTTCCCCGCAACGGAAGAAGGCCGATCTGACAGAAGTACTTAATGAGGGGAGTTTAATATATTCAATATACAGGTTTTAGATCCGTTGGCCCGTAGAGTTGTTTTTTTTTCAATATCAACATATCAAGTTAGCATCTATACAAAATACCCCTGGCAAACTAGGTCCGTGCCTGTCCGCTTGTCCAGGGACCCTGGTGTTCTGGATCCACATCCTCAGAGACGAATGAAAACGGAACAGTCCTTGATATTCCCGACGTATCCCGGAAAGTACAATAAAGCTAGACAGAAACCACTATTATAAGCCCCTCTGTCAGATATCAGTCGAATTAGGAAACTTTCACTCAAATCTGGAGGCTTCAGCTCCAACTCCAATTCTGAGTCAATATCAGAAGCAAGACCATCTAGATTTCTAACTCTCACTGGTATGCTCTTTTTAATGCGCAGGCCGCTTTTCATATATCCACCATCCTGACAGCGGCTGAATAGAATCAAGTCCAGCCTCTTCGGTTGCAGGGGAAATGGTATAAACAATCGGTTCAAGCCGACCGTTAGCACCCATTCGGTACAAATTCTTGTCATCGTGATCTCTGGTGCGATCTAACATCGCTCTGCTCGATGTAGCCTGAATGCCAACAAGTCCAGCTACCATCTTGGTATCATAGACCGTTCCATTGTCGTCGATGGTAACGGGTACCGAGGCGAAACCAGATGGGACATCCTCCGTGTCGATGCGGCGCGACAAAGCGTCTTCTAGTCCCAATGTAGAGTTCCGTGCTTCAAACTCGGGTGAGGAGGCGGGATGGATTGGCTCTTGATGGAGCAGCTTCCCATCTTCATCCCAGAAACAGAAAACGGAAACCCAACCGCATAAATAGTCTGACCCGCTGCCCATTACATCCTTGTGGGCACATCTGCTCCAAAAGTCCAGTACTGCAGGCGAGTCTGGATTGTCAAAAGAGGTAACAAAATTATTAAGGATCGGTCGAAGAAGCTGAGCGAATCGTGCCGGTTCGTCCCCTAGCTGATGAAGCTTATCAAGCTTCTTCACGATTTGGTTCCAGTCATCTTTCTCGCCTAACAAAGTGACAGACGGAATTCCACAACAAGTTGTCATTTTGTAGGAGAAGTATTTCTGTAAGGCACCCATCATCAAGATTGCCGCGACCACATGATCAGATTTGGTTGTAGTGCTGAAGGTTGGCATAATCCAGTCTCGCAGCTCTTCATCCACGACATTCTTTCCAATCAGCCTGGTCATCTCCACGGCTAATGCGCCCAGATCAACACTATCGATAGTTCCAACAGCAATTACTTCAAGTTCTTTCTGCCCTTCGTGCGAAACAAAAAAGGGTCGAAGTTCCTCTGCATTTGCATTTACAAAGAAACTGAGCTGCGTCAAAATGGAGAACCAAATATCTTCAGGTCGTATTATCAAGTTGTGGTGATAGCTATACGCGTTGAAAACTGCCCAGACAAAGCCATGCTGGGAGGCGGAGATGTGGGAGTCGCGAAAGGAATTCTGAGAAAATGAGCTCTGGATGAGCTTTTGGCTTTGGTACTGGCCTTCTAGACATGAGTGGGTAAACAGCGATTGGGCGGTGGATACTCTCGGGGCTTCCCATTTGCGAGGGGGATGTGCGGCCGTAGTGAGAGTGATAGGCATATTGTTCTGAAGAAATATCCGAGATATACATAGTTTCTAAGGCCAAGGGGAAGGTCGCTATTTGTTATAGAACCCCCGAAAGGTGGGGACTATTGCCACGTATACATACAGGGTTCATAGTCCTTCAAGGGGTCAAGGCTGTGTCTAACTAGAATCGGAATCACTAATGGCGCTCGTATTTTGAAAAAATAATATTGTCAGGAGACTATGAAGTAAGTGTATTGTGCAATGTGAGATTGAAAGTTGTTGAGGCTAAGTGCTAAGTGCTAAAAACTGACACCCCCCACGACTTGTAAACCTAGTTGTTGAAAAAGTTGTATTGTATAGTACGACGGGATTACCGAAAACGACATTGGTTGTAGCGGAGGCTGAGGCTGAGCCTAGGGCCGGAGTTGTGACCGTTTTAGCTGACTTACCGGCGTTAGCGGGATTGAGGAGGCATTGCTCTAAGGTATGCGCTGTCTTTCGCTGGTGGAAAGCGCAAAATTGATTTGGTTTAGCGAGAGCGTTAGCGCATTTGTTATTATTAAAGGTAGCGCTTATGTCGTAAAGCAATAATGACTAGGATAACTTACGAGACGTCGATTCTTAGAGATAACGAAGTCGGAGAAAGCGCCGACGAGGATATGTTCGGACGACTCATGGCTTAACGGACGAAGACTATTAAGCCACTAATAAGTAGCGGGATTAGCGCTGACGGCTATAAGGAAAAGGAAGTCTTAGGCCGAAGTTGAAATGTGAGATTGACCGCACGCCTCGGCGAATTCGCTGTAGGCGATGCGCCACTTGATAACGAACTACTATAGTGTAGTCGAACCATCGTTAGCGTAGCGAAGGGTAACCCACTTATAGAACTTATCGAACCCGGTGTTATAGGTGTGAACCGCTAAAGTCTTGGGTATCGAGAGCACACTTAAGTGCGGTGGTCCACGAGACGAAGTTTGCTTCGCCTGTAAGGATGGGTAAGGATAGGGACTAGCTCTAAGAGCTTTAGCTCCGCGAAGGAAGCGGTGTTAGCGTCGGAAGCTATATTAAAAGGTGGAGTGCTTCGAAGGAGAGGCACTGAGGAAGGATAGGTTGTGTGTCGAAGGAGAGGCACAAAGGAGGGTTGTTGTACGTCGAAGGAGAGGTACTGTGGGATGAAAACTCTGCATTTTTGAGACCGTTTGTAGGTACCATAGCCTGGCTGGTTTACTGCTGCTACCGCGCGTCGAGGGAGAGGCGTATGTTGACGATGATGATGCTTCGATGGAGAGGCATTTTGGAGGATGATGTTGGTGGAGAGGAAGGTTGAAAGGAGCTTCCGAGGGCTCATAGCCTGTCAGAAGAAGACTATAATAAAGTGCATTGTGCAATGTGAGATTGATTGAGACTTGTTGAAGCTAAGTGCTAAGTGCTAAGAAAAACCGACAATGCCCCATTGTAAGTTAATTATGTCTGGCTCACAAATTTGAGATGAGCCGATTGCTAACAACATCTCGGTAGAAACTCGTACGGTCTCGCTTTTGACTGCTAGGAGTGTAGCTTAAGGAGGTACAAACAGGTGTCAGGGAAGCAGATAACAAAGTACATTCTATAATAGAGCAAAGTTGGACGAGTATTGCACATGGACTACATTTACACCGGGCTATATATAAGTCGCCTGTGTAACGGCGTCAAGCGAAACCAGATTGGGGGAGAATATTTGCCTTCACCGAACTTCCTTTTTTCCCGATACATCTTTGCCGTTGAATCGACAATGGACCCCGTTCTAGCAGAAAGCAATCTCGCCTATCATGGACTTCAGATAACTTCAAGTGATAGTGACACCGATGACACGGGTGTCAAATCACAAAGGGCTCAAACCGATCAAATTAAGTCGCTGATTAGGACATTTCTTGAGGATATCGGTTTTGATCGCAGCATTGTCGTGATTGAAGACCATGAGATGAGGAGCGCTGTTTGGCAGTACTTCAAAGGCTTGGACCTAGGACAGAATACCGAGAAATCGGTCCACCAAACACTCGACCCTTCGGTAAACTTTGCATACATGGGTTATACATCTCTTCCCTTTCAGGTGAGGGTGCTAGCTGCCATTCAATTCCTGTATATGTTTCTAGTGGATGATGTGGCGGAGGAATTTATAGAGGATCTTCAAGCATTTGGTCAACAGTGAGTCTACAGCTGGACTTCATAAGCATACAACTCTACTTGACTGTCTGCTGATCTACTTAGCTTTGTTCTGGATCGGCCTCACAAGCACGCCCTCCTCACTGGGCTAGATGGTCACCTTCGCCATCTATCACAGTATTACGGTCCATATTGCCACTCTGTGATGGTTAAAGGCATGCTTGATTATATCAATGGTCGTGTCATCGAGCATAAGATCAAGCAGTCCAGTTTCAAGTTTTCGTCCGAGTCCCGCCTTATGCCTATGTTCCTGAGAACTAAGGTTGGAGGTGCAGAGATCATGGTCCATCTTCTCTATCCCAATTCCGTCTTTCCCGAAGACGAATACGTGATGCAATATTTTCCAGTCACCCTGGAACTTGTCCTGTTCATTGATTTTACGAATGATATCTTGTCCTATTACAAGGAGTTCTGTCTCAGTGATGAAACTGGAAATTTCGTGGCGAATTTCGCCGACACGCATCATGTCCAACATTTGGATGTCTTACGGTATCTCACGAGCTATATGCCTAGTGTAAGTGTCACGCTTTTAGTTTTGCGCTCAGCTTACTAACAATTGACTGTAGGTCACTAAATCGGCTTATAAACTGCTTCGAAATAGTCCATCGCTGCTCGCTTTGATTAAGAATTTCGCCCAAGGAATGATTATGCTCTTCACAGCGCATCGTCGATACCATCTAGTGGAGTTGTTTGCGGATGAGCAATATTTGCCGCCTTATGATGAGGATGCATAGTGTTTGGGCTAGATTTCTGCCAAAGAGCATCTAGGATTATAGCACGAACAGAAACCTCAAGGAAATCCCCATTGACTTGATATTCACGGGCCTAGAACAGCCCAAAGGGATTGGTGCCAGCTGGCACTTCGGGCTGAGCGATGCTGTCTTGGCTGGGCAGATAGCTCTGTATGTGACCTCTAGTCCTGTAAAGAGTACCGATACCCTGTATCTGGCTCACACACAAGAAACTCGCGGAGCTTGTCGGAGCTGCGTTGGCCGGTGTATCTCCCAGTCTCAACCAACTCACCATCTGGACATTTGGATGCTTGGGCTAATGTTACCTTCCTGGCCACGGCGCCCAACTCTACATTTTACATTTAACATTGACATGCCATATTAAATACCAAACAGACCGAGAAAGGAAGATATTCCTGCCCAATATATACATATAGACATGTCCTTCATAGATGTACCGAGATCCCGTAATGACATCAGAGAACCCACCCAATCACAACACTCTTATTTTCTTCCCCTCCAGGATTCTTATATTCTCACTTATTCTCATTACATCTCCCATTCAATACTATATATACTATGTCTTGGTCACAGAAAACTTTTACTCTCCCCTCTCGCAGCCGTGGCTCCTACCTTATCACCGACCATGTCCTTCAAGAGGTCCCCGACATTCGCGACTACAAAGTCGGCATGCTGAATCTGTTCGTGCAGCACACCAGCTGTGCGCTTTCGCTGAATGAGAACTGGGATGATGATGTTCGCACCGATATGAGCGATGCGCTGGACCGTATTGCGCCTATGGATAAGAAGGGAAATCTGTATCGTCATTCTGCCGAGGGCGAGGATGATATGCCGGTATGTCTTTGGAGAGATAGCAGTGGATTAGGAGTTTGAGTTAGATCGCTATGCTCGTTTCCAGAGTCTAGAATCTAGCTAGGACTAGCTTCCGCGGCTCTTTTTACTGTTTCTTTGAGACCAGACACTAATTTCCCGACAGGCTCATATTAAATCCGCGCTCATTGGCGCTTCAGTCAATATTCCTATCACGAACGGTCGCTTGGCAACAGGAACATGGCAGGGAATTTGGTACTTGGAGTTCCGGACGAGTCGACACAGTCGTAAGGTTGTTGCGACGATCCAGGGCCAGAAGGCTTGACTGGATGGGGTTGAACGCGGGCAATTGTGATTTATCTAGAACGTCCCGTCTACGAGTGATGCAAGATACAAAAATAGGGATTTGGGTTGGCGAGAGAATCGACATATGACCCAGATTATATGATATCATCATATGCAGGTAGTCGGAGTAGTACACACATTTTGAGGACAATACCATCATCACACACGATAACACGATGGAAGGGCAGTGCATCCATTCATCGATATTCTGTACACGGCCTCAGGCCCAAAACCAATTGAAAAACGCAAATTGTGCAACGCCGATAAAGGAAATCTCATGTTAGCCGTCTATCGCTGCTCCAAGCCACCCTCTGTCACACGCTGGGACTCGTTCACCTCGGCGGCATCACCGGTGGGCTCGAGGGGGTAGCTGGTGGCGGGCAGAGACTTCAAGTAAGCGCGGTGCTGCTCCTGGGCCTAGGGAGAAGTTAGCAAACATTTAATTATAGCCGGGAAGACTGCGGGTATAAATGGACATACAAAGGGCACACCACAGTATCCGCACGTAGCGATTTCGGGCTTGTCGGTGTTAATGAAGACCTTGGGGTGGCCGAGAGGACCACCGCCACCATCACAGCTGACGACCCTGGACTTTGTCCAGCGGACGGGCTGTCTGTGAATGAGCTCGATAGCGGCATATGGTTGCGGCTAGAGGGTAAGTTAGTCTTAGACCTCGCTATGCATTGCCAACAGCGATTGCATAAGAATTGCTATTGTCAGTGGATTCGTACCTGGCTCTCCATAATTGTCTGCTCAAAGCGAGGTCCAACCATGGCCTTCTCGCGCGGCTGCTGGCTGGCGGCCCAGGTGGTAGCGCGGTTCGGGGCCTGCATGCTCCGGATGCGCTCGCCAACCTCGGGGGACTCCTGGAGAGTACCGTCGTTAAGCTGACGTCCAAACTCTTCGGTGGGCACGGCATTGGTTGCGGAGACATTCGCCGTGGGCTTCCGCGGGGTCGGGTCGTTGACTTGGATCGGGTTCTCGTTCAGACGGGGCACAGTCGAGGAGTATGCGCGGACAACGAAGCGCGGGCGGGCCGACGCAAAGGTCGCAATTCTGCGGCCACAGGACATCATACTGGGCAAATTTCCCCGGGGTGGTTGGTTATGACGGAGGACAAAAAGAGCGTTGGCAAGGGACCAAGTGCAAGTCGGCACTGAATAATCCGCGAGGTGTGGTTTGGTGGAAGCTTACCGCTTGCTTTTTCGAGATAGCTCCACCCTGCACTTGGATTTTCTGCCGCATCATTTTAATTTGCGATTCGCAAGTGAAGTGGTTTAACATCTTTCTCTTGTTTTTGAATTGGATTTGATATCCCTTGAGATTTTATCTTTCAACTCATCATGGCTGGCTCTTCTTCCCCGGCTGGAAAGCCCGAGAAGACCATGTCGTCAAATCTATTGACCATGAAGGTATGAATGACAATTTCCTGATTAACAGCCATGCAACTAACGCCATATCCTAGTTTATGCGACGTGCTGCAGCTGCGAAAGAAACCCAAAGTCCATCTTCTGATGCCAGCTCGCACAATTCCAAGCGCCCTCGTCTCTCCACCGAGGCTGAAAGCCCTCGTACCTCAGATATGGATGCGATTGCGGCTGCACTGGCTGCCGAGGAAGAAAAGCGACAAGAAGCTGTCGCACGAGCAGCTGCAGAGGCGGGTGAGACACACTGGGTCTTGAACGTCCCTGTGACGCCCCAGTCCACTCAGCAGCCTATGGTATTGGCGGCAGACTCGTTGGATGCAGATGACGATACCTACTCCGGTGGACGGCGGGCGTATGGCAATTTCAAGCGCAAAGAGCGCAAGGTCAGTATTTTCCTCTCTCAGACTTGATATTCTATGCTCATCTTTCTTAGCCACAAACTACACCAAGCAAGGAGGGCAATGAGCATGGTGAGGATGGTGAGGATGATTACGAGGACGACATAATCAACCCGTCTAATCCACAAGAGGTCGCCAAAATGGTTGAAAAGGCCAGACTCAGGGCAGAAGCTAAAGCCAGAGGAAACACACGACCGACAAAGCTGTCTGAACTCACCAGTATCTCTGGCTCTGGCCGCGGGTCTTTGTTGGGAGCTCCATCCTCTGACAAGAAGAAGAAGAAGCGCAAGAGCTACTAAACGGATGATATTCCACGGTATATCCTCAAATATTTTGATTGGCGTTTTAGCATAGCATGGCGTCTTGGGGTTCACTCAATTCTTTCTCGGTATCGTGGTGCTTATTACTATAATCCTTGACCTAGTTACATCCAAGGTTGTCCACTATACAAGTAAATACATATACGCAATGTAGTGAGTTCAGAATCTCAGCAGTTTCCAAGTGTCTAATTAACGCGCACCTCCCATTGTATAGTACGAAATTGGCAGGTGACATGCGGCATAGGATGGAAGGCAGGTGGCCACTTTGGGAAAGTACGTAGGTGAGCATATAAAAGGGCACTTCCCACCTTTCCTCTTCTCTACTACACACAACCTTGGATATCAACGTTACCCAGTTGTTGAGGTCCATGTGTAGGTCCGCGCCCACATCAAACGGGCAGTTCTCGTGGAAAGTATTGAATACAGTCATTGGCAGATCCCACGGAATACATGGAGGGTGTTTAATCACATCCTTCATTGCATGCATGTAGCTAACTTGTCTTTGCCCACTATACACACCAAGTAAATACATATAACCCACGCAGTCGGAACTAGTTGGTCACTATCTACCTGGTAACACCTCTCTGTGAATATATACTGTCAAGAGAGGTCTACGGAGACGTCTAGATGCATGATGAAATGTAAGATGAGATGACTAAATTGTTAAAAAAGGCTAAGAGCTAAGTTAGGAAGTATTGACGATCTCCTTCCGGGGGTGCTTCTTGTACGCGTCGCCGTCATGAGCCTTCAGTTCGGTCATGGATTTGGATGTTTGGACGACGACTTTTCCCTCACGTATACTTCGAGTGTGGGAGAAAAGCTCTTGTAGAAGCTCCCTGGATACCAACTGTTTGATTATAATGTACTGTTTGTTGTTCTATATCAGACAGCATTAGCCTCGAGGTACTACACCATTGTTATTTCTTTTAGGGTATAGTACTAACCTCATCCCAATCCCAAGGCAGATTATATGCTATCACTGTGTCTGGCAGCAGGTCCTTGCGGTGGACCTAAAACACAGCGCCAGTATTAGTATCTCCAGGGATATCTGATGATGTAGTTCACTTACTCTAGTCCTCCACATACTCTTCGTTCTTTTTTCCTTTGCCTCCTTCTTTGTGCTCTCCATCTGTTCTCGCATTTTCTTATTCGTGAATTTCTCAATCTCCTCATTGCTGTAACCAATATTGCGCAGCTGCTCTCTAATCTCTCTTTTCTTCTGCTTGGTGCGTTCTTGCACGAGCTTCCATTCTTCAATAGTGGCCTCTTTGGGGACAGTCTGCTTCTCGAGGTTCTCCACCACCCCGTACAGATTTCGAGTGACTTCCTCGGCAATATCCCGTACGAGGTTATCCTCATCTTCTTCCATTTCTGGCGACACCTTTGACTTTCCCTTCTTTAACTTGGCCTTCGTTCTCTCCTCGGTATTTTTCTTTTCGGCATCAAAGCTGTTCAAGCGTTGTTCTGCATTCACATTCTGTCCTCCCTCTTCTTGTCTCATTTCTAGGTCTTTATCCTTCTCTGGTGCTACTCGGGACAGGTAAAAGAGGGCAAGTTCCTGTAAGTGCCCAGCAACATGTTGCTGGAACTCGACAGAAAGGAGGTCTTCTGGTTGCAAATCGTGCATTGAGAAGAAGTATCGGTGATTGGATGTGCTTGCTGAACGTGGGAGTACCACAGTCGGCAGCCTTTGTACAGCCTATTTGGCGTGGAACACTCGGGAAGAACGCACACATACCATATCAAATCCCGGAGAATGTGCTGTGCCCATGCCCGATCATCTCGAACAGTGATGCTAAAGAAGCAATACGGACACTTGAACGGGGTTTTCCCGCGCCCTTCCTGGGGCATCAGTGGTATCTTCGTAGATCCATCTATTCCCTCGGACAGAGTGCCATTGTATGAGGTTTCGGACGCACCATCTTCAGAGAGTATATCGTCGGATTGATGTGCCTCCTTGTATACATCGTTAACGGGAGGTTCCGGCGGCATAGTCAAATTCTCGTCTTCTGGATCAATTTCGGCTTGCGCTGGTGGAGCTGTCACTTGGGAAATCCCTAAATGCATTCTTGACTCCGGAGGATGAGCATCAGGAACCATTGGTCACCAAATTCCGCGTCGCAGCAAGGCTTGTCGACAATGTGCACCAGGAAAGTGGTACACACTATGCAGAAGCCGTTTATAGCTGCCTCTACTAGTCTGGCATAAGCTCACTTTGCAATGAGCAAAGGTTCGTGGACCGTGTCTTTGGTAGCATGGTCTCTCCTTTACCGAAGGATTTGGTCAATTTCGAGGGTCTTACGTGAAAAGATGAAGTTATTTACGAAAGGCAAATATCTCTCTCAGTCTCGGGGAAGGTTTGAACAGGAATATATTTAGAGCACTCTGCCCTAGTTTCTAGAAATCGTATTCCTTGGCCTAGATCATCATAGAGAACCTCCGCAGGATGAATGTCCTATAGGATATGACCCTGTAACCAAAAAGCATATGTAGACCAGACAATCAACAGGCAGTCCCATACAACAATAATCAATGTACATTGTATATACTAAACCCTAAGCTCTGCTTAAGGACCTCGAGTCTAAGCGAACTCTGCCCTGATAAAAGCGTAAAGCCGCGGCACACGGCACTAGAGATACATAAGTAGCGACTGGCTCTTCTCGGAAAAAGCAAAACTGAAAAATCTCAAAGCTTCGACTTCTCCTCCTGCTGCTTCTTCTCCCATCCTTTCTGTGTCGCGAAATTCACAATCAAATTCCAAGCAGCAACCCCAACTCCGACTGGCGGTGCAACCAACAATATCCACGCCCACCACCTTGGACTCGACGCCGCGATATTAGCCATAGCTTCCTTAACAGCAACCTCCAGCTCGGCCTTATCAGCATCATTCCAAACTACCACCCCGCGCCCCGTCTTTGTCCCCCGGAACTCTGCCTGCGTCGCTTTCGTCCGTACATCCCCCTGACTCCGGACCCGGTTCTCTGCATCCTCGGCTGTAAGGTGTGCATCGCGGGCGCGTAATCGCGCCATTTGGATTTCAGGATCGTGAACCCCGACCACAATCACCGTTCCGCAGATGAGATCCATCCCGCTCTCAAAGAGAAGTGGTACATCTAGGACAACTGCCCATTGGCCACGCAGGTAGTGGTAGATTAGGGCTTTGTAGACTTCCCACCGGACGGCAGGGTGAACGATGCCGTTGAGGACTTGTCGGTCGCGTTTACGCTCTTCCGTGCTTCCAAAGACACGCCGCCCCAGCGCCGGTCGGTTCAGTGGCTTTCCATTGGGATTTGTGGGCGCATCTTCCAATAGTAGGTCTGGTGTGCTGGGACCGAAGTAGTTGACGATTGCTTTATAGCCTGCAGTGCCAGGTTCGACGACTTTGCGGGCGAGGAGATCGGCGTCGATTATTGGTAGGGAATAGGGGGGTGTAGAGAGGATAGATGAAACAGTCGACTTGCCTGTCGCTATTGAGCCTGTGAGCCCGATGATCAACATTTTTGGCTTTAGAGAAGAGAATGACAAAAGAGTCAAAAGTTGAGAAGTTGCAAAACGCGGGGAGACACTTAGCCTCGGCAGGAATGTTCATGTACGTCACTTTATGTTATACATCAAGCAGGTACAAAGTCCATTTTTAGAGCTTCTAATTCTTCTCTCAAATTTGCTTCAACTAATTTGTTATACATTTGTATCTTCCAACCCTTATCTAGGTGCGACCGATATCCTCGGCGCTTATAGATGCAAACCTAGAGCACTGCAATATGAGGCATATACGCAGAGTGCCTAATCCAAGGCAAAGAAGGGAGCTTATGTGGCTGATCTTTTTCAAATCCACCAAATTCAAGTTTCCGGCAGTCCGTGTGAAGTGTCCTGTGCTTGGCCCTTCCATCCAATCTTCGGCCACCCCTTGGGCAGCGAGGAGAATGGTGGCAGGGAATAGCGCTCATCACAGCCACCTTCCCATGGACAGGTCAGATCGCACAGTCCAAACACTTTGCAGTAGCATTCCTGCGCATTGGGGCAATGCACAGGGTCCTTTCCAAATATCACTGGAGAAAATGTCAGAGTTCGATCGGCACCAAAGGGGATGTAGGGAAAACACTTACTATGCCATGAATATTCCATAATTCGTCCACTCAAATCATCCTCTAGCGGCGTTTCCATTAGCCAGGCGCGGAAGCGCTCGTAGTCACTTCGCGGCCGTTCCAGCACCTTGGCGCGGGACACACCAAACTGCGCGCAGCATGACACGCCTACCTCCTCCGGGATGGGGATCCCAGGGAATAGTTCCATGAATCCATGCTTGAAGTATTCGCCGGCGTGTACGTTGCCGCGGTGCGTATCGGTGAGAGGACGGATTTCTATCGGACATCCGAGGGTCCAAACACATCGTAGATTGACGTATCCTTGCTCTTGTAGGTATGGGATCTGGAAGTTTTGGAGCGGTGGGATACCGTCGTAGTATGGGTCGTCGTTATGCCATTGGTAGCGTTTCGAGTGAATGAAGAGCATCGTTTCCGGTAGGTTATCGTAATTGTCAATGATATATCTAATTTAACAGTTCGAGTCAGTATGGGGTCCGGTAACACACGTCCAGTGGTCGGACTCACGTCAAATACACCATTGACTCCCGGCCTTTGTTGCGTGTCACCGTCAACGGCGCGTGCTTGTCATCCACCACGTAGATACTTTTCGTCCAGTCGGGAAAGTATTTTGATAGCCATGACGTGTCATCACTTTTCATGCTGGCCACGATCATATTCTTTTCTCTCGCCGTAGGACGAGCCAGCTCGCCTGTTTGTTTCGCCGATCCATGTTTCTCCGCATAGCTGCCTGCTTCGGTCTTCACCTTCACGGGGGACTTTGCGGTTGTTGAAAAGAATAAAAGGTATATGGCGATGACGATAAAAATGGTAAGGAAGATAGCCTTCATCCGACTGCGACGTCGGGGGCCTTGAGGCCCACTAGGAGCGAACAACATGCTGGATGGAGGGCAGTCTGCCCGGGTGGTCAAGTCATTGAGGGGAGGAGAAGTTGACGATTAACGGGAAATCAAGGCCCCGGAGGAGCTCGAGAAATCCGGGAAAGAGAGTAGAATATTACTTTGATACGAATCAGATACTATTCATGTAGTACTGTGTAGGTCATAAATCGTGTCGGAGACATCTGGTTAACGTGGCGCAAGTTGGAGTTCTCCACAAAAAGCCAAGCTCTATGGCATTGTGGGCACTACACTTGACAGCTTCGAATTCATAATAGAACTGAAAGAACTAAATAGTTGACATAGGTAAAATAGGTAAAATAGGTATAATTAAACTTGTTGAGAAAATAATTAGGAGTGATATGTTTGTATGTTAATATGTTAATATATTGTGTTATATATTGAATTGGTTTAACCAAGATATATACATCTAGTATATACTATCTCTCCTGGACATGCTATATATTCACGATTTTCCTATTGGCATGCATCAATATGTCCCAAGTACCAATTATGTGCCTCAGTATCAGCCTTCAACGTTCCAGCATTTCCAGCCTTTGAGCCCACGCCTACAATGACATCAATATCAGACGAGGTCACCGTCGCCTGATCGGCACTAGTAATCCAGTACTCGGGACTTGGGTGGCTAAATCCAGCGAACGCAGGTGGCAACTTGGGCACCAAGTCAGCGGTATGCGTGACTCGCCAGAGACTGCCCTGGTCCGTCATATATTGAGCCAGAGCCTTGTTGCCCACCCGCGGCGAGGCGTAGGAATACTAGTCTCATTGTAAGTATACGCTGTCATCAAGGATTTGGAAACATGATACTTACCACCTTGGGTGCAAATCCTGCATTTCGAAGCACAGTACCTCCAACCATGGCCATAGCTCCGCCAAAGCTGTGGCCTGTCACGATGAGAGTATAGCCCGGGTATGTTGTCTGTGCGGCTTGGATCTTGGATGTCAGATCGTCCGCGACAGTCTCCCAGGAGTCCCAAAACCCGCCGTGGACTTTGCAGTCGCTGCATATACCAGTATCATCGTTCAAGCCAAAGTCGATGTTGGCGATCCAGGTACTTGTTGTGCGACTACCTCGGAATGAGACGACGAGGAGCTTGTTTGTTTTGTCGACTGCCAGGAAGCCGGCAACATCGCCATAGCTGCATTTCCTGATAGGTGTCACTGTATTAGCGAACAGTCTCGGAATGACTTTGGAAGTTGGTCTCATACTTATCAAACTCATATAGAGTGATTGTGTCAGCGGCCTCCACTAATGGGCAGTTGCCTTCCTCGCAAGATAGCGCGTCGCCGGTTGAGTTGTTATTGTTCGTGCAGTATGACGCCCCAGCCCACTGAGAGTATAGGGTCAATTGACCAAGCACATCAGCCGACACATCTGTCTGAGTCAGTCATCGGAGGGCAGGAACAAAAGACGAACGTATATCCATACCTCGAGGAACAGAACGAGAAGGAGCAGCAACTGTCAACACCGCAAGAGCAGCGGTACCCCAAAGCCGACCAAGAAGAACCATTATGCAGATCTCTTTCGGAGTAAGACTGTCTCAGGTATGCACCTGGAGATAGCCATGCGTACATGGCTCTTTTATGTATGCTCGGCGAGCCCGTATAGCTCCCAAGACCTTTTTTATAAATTGAGACATAATCAAGCGGGGTATAGCCCCCATTCTCTATATTGTAGAGCAAATGGTTTCCGGACTCAGCTCTATCTCCGTTCATGCCGCATATTTCACGCGTGACCGATGGGACTCCGGTGGGAGGAATGTATGCTGTCGAGTCAGGAATGTAACCCTGGAGAAACATCGGGCAAATGGATGAGAGCCTACATATTAATATGGAGTATTCCCCGTCCAGGACGAGATTAGGGCTGTGATGGGCGCTTAATTGTGCCTTGTCGTGCAGGAGCGGGTTCATCCCGCCGACGATTATTGCTCCATAAGATATATTTTCCGTGAAGATGAACATTTTGGGCACTTTGCAGGTCGGGTAGAAGGAGCTTGCAGGGTTAGATGATTGTTGATTGGTTTTCTGCTTGGCTGACTTGGCGCCCCCTAACTGCTCAGGTGTTATTCGATCTTATCTCAGCTGTATCAATTGTAATACCCCAGCCACTCACTTCGACCCGTGATCAAATAGGATAACTACAGCATTATTAAACATGTACTCCGTACTCCGTATGGTCATAAGAAGCGTAAAATTGATTTGACTGGCTGTGTTTCAATGGGACTTTTGTGTTTTTTTTCCGTTTTCTGCTTTTTTGAAAAACATCCCATCGGCGAATCCCTGTCCTCACCAGTCAGAACCATATCTTGTTCATCATCGCTGCTAGCAAGGAAACCTTGGACCCCCGGAGACACGCGGTGCTTAGGCCCAAAGTAGGCTTAGTTAGTGTTCATTGTCCTTGCAATTCCCACTACTGGTGAGATTCAATCCTCATTCCCTCCTCAACGCCAGTCATACCAGTGTCCTGTCCATCGTTTGCGCTATCACCGTCAACCAGAACTCTGGGGGTGAGGGTGACACCAGGAGGCAATGGGGTGCCAGGAGTCACCGCAACAATGTTGTCGTTCTCGTCGACCATCTCAAAGTTGTATCGCGATAGAAGGTGGGGAATTGCAGAGAGTTGAGGGCCATAGCGAGCAGTATTATCATACAGCTCGAACAGCGGGACGGCGAGAAGTTTCATGTTCTTTGGGACGGAGAGAACCTCTATAGCAAGTGGTTTGTATGTAAGCAGTGTTCACTGGAAGACATCCATGGATGATGGGGGTAGAACTTACTCTTCTTCGGGAGACGAATGAAGTACAGCTTCTTGCATTCCTTGGGACGCGTGACATGTCCAGGAAGGAACGGGTACATGAAAGTCTCAAAGTTGGGTCGCCACCATTGCGCAAGTGTGTCGCTAATTTCCCAGTCGTCGTTAACACCTTCGCCGGAGAACTGAGATCCCACAGGTGCCAGGCGCTCATTCAGTCGTTTCTTAAAACCTTCAATCTCGTCGTCTTCATGGTGCAGATAATCACCGGGCCTAAGGACTATTAGCAGTGAATTTTGAATATATGCAACTAAAGCAGGAGAACCAACAGCTTAAAGAACGCATTGGCAATCTGCAGCATCAGCACGTGTGGATGGTTGTGCTCGTGGCACACCAGGATTCCCTCACAGGTCCGTCGCATTCCATGCAGGCCATAATGCTCTTCTAGGCGCTTCAGCCGTGCCAGAACTGATGGGTCCTCTTCTGGTTGTGTCTCCTTGGTGCCGAAGGTATAGTTCGAAAGGGGGTACAGGCGGACAGTCTCCGGCTGCTGCGCAGTGAAGTCCTTGGGGACAATGGGCCTAGAAGTCGTCGTGTCAGGTTGAACCATTCAAAAACTGCAATGTTGAATGGAATATCTCGGATACTTACGGAACACTGCTAACAGGGGCATCCCTCGTAGTAGCCATTTTGATGAAGTGATATGCTGTTGTGGTCGAAAAGGGCGAGAGCTCCCCCCAAGCTCCGATGTCACTTATCGCTTATCAGTGTTGACCGCCTTCCCAAATTTGATATCTAAACAACATAGTCTACTATACCAACACCCAACACTATAGAGCAATAGATATGAATGTATTTTATTCGATTATTGTCCATCTCTGGAAGTTAACTATATCCTCAATCGATAAAAACCTCGACTCTCCCATTCATGCAACCAGCCTAACACCAAACCTATTCCCCATGTATACCATTTATAGCTTGGCATCAAAATCCTCATACTCGCTCAAATCCGTCACAGGAACGGGGCCAGTGCTCACAGGCAAACGTGCCTTGAAGGTCGGCACATCGGTGATAACGACGGCTTGTTGAGCCTCGCCGTTGCCGTTAGCCGCACCCTGAATGTCGCTGCTAGACCCAAGACCCAGCTCCTTTAACTGGGAACCAAGTTTCTCATCTAGTGTCTCAAGGACTGGCTCGATCTTCTGCTGTGACAGACCTGCCTCGGTCGCCAGGAAGTTCTTCACAACAAAGATAATCTGAGACTTGTCCACCACTGTCGTTTCAACCTCATCGAATGCAGCTGTGAAGCGGGCAGAATCCACGACGAAGTCAGCGGCTGCAAGGTGCTGGGCAACTACTTCGATAAGGCGTGTCCTCTGTTCGGCTGGTTTAGGTGCCTCAACCTGTGCGCCTGACTGGGCATTCATGTGGATGGCAAGCTTAGCCCGCGTTGGTGAAGAGGGGTCGATGTATTGCTGGTAGAATGCAATAAGATCCGCCTTGGTCAAGGTGCGCACATTGGCCGCATCGGTCTCGTGCTGCAGGAAATCAAAGTACTCAGACCCGACATGCGACCAGTATCGGCCAGTCTCAGAGCCTAGGTTCTTGAGTTTCTCCAGGCGCTTGTTCACGACACTGCGCTTGTGACCCTCGAATTCTTCCTCGGGCATCTTCTCGAGGGTGGGGCCAAACTCGCGGAGGAATGTCTCAATGCGCGATTCGAGATACTGTGCCGTGCGCTCACTTTGGATAATGACCCGGTAGCCCAGGGTGGTGGCGTTGTAGCGTGCGCCACTCCACACCACATATCCAAGCTGTTCCTTGCTGCGCAGTTGGTCGAATGCAGGTTCGTCAGTCAGCTGCGCGAACAGCTGAAGCTTCGACCGCAGGACGTCATCGGAGAAGAGTCCAATATAGAGGTAGTACTCAATGCAGTGGTTGACGTTGGCCGGATCCTTAAGCGACCGGGGGTAGACATAGTTGGCACCGGGCGGCAAGGTCATGTTGCGGCGCAGGTACCACTGTGACGGAGGCAGAGGACGGCCACCCAAAATCTTCTCAATAGAGTCCGTCATACGCAGGGCATCCTCCTTGTACAGGTTTCCGTGGGCCAGAACTTCGATGTGGGTCTGTTCAAGCAACTGGGGGAAGAAGTTGACCACATCAGCGCACTCAACATGCTCCAGCTCCTCAAGATACTGTTCATTGACCCAGCTGCGCTCGGCAAGGAGATAGCGAGTATAATCTCCGACCTGGTAGTAAGGCTGCTGGTACTCGGCGTTGCGGAATGCCCGTGTCAAGCGCTCTTTGATTATATCGAACCGATCCTGGTTGATCACTAGCCCACGCATGGTATTGAGTACTTTATCCAAAAGAGCAGACATCTTGTCGTTGTATCCGCTCACAGAGATATCTAGGCCCAAAATGTTCGCCGAGAGATGGTAATCCAATCCAGCAAGCTCGGCGTCGTAGGAGTATTCATCTAGCGAATCTCGCACCAACTCGCTGTACAGCTTTGTTTTGATGAGATTGGCAGGTGTAGCCCATACCAAAGGATTGCGGAGCGTTACCTCGACAGTAGCCTTAGGCACCCAGAAACGATCATCCTTCTTGAACCACAGGCGCACCCGGTCGTCATGGCGAATCAGCTTGGGGGTGTTGGCTGGCTCGGCAACCTCCTTCTTTTCCACGGAGAGTCTGGTCGGCACAAATTCGTTCTTGTGAGGCATGTGCACGTTGGAAGTGCGGGTAGCCTCAGTCGAGTCTAGAGCCTTCTGAAGACCGCCCAAGAACTCCTGTGGGATCTTCTCGACCTTGTACTCAGTACCATACCACTTCTCTTTCTGGTCCCATGTACCAGGGAACTCCTGGGACACAACGACTAGGCGGAAGTTGTCGGCTCGCAGATAGCTCAGCGCCTTCTTGATCAGGTCAGAGTCAAATCGTCGCAACAAAGACCCACTCAGCAGCCATTCACTAGGCAGTGACTTTTGCATAACGCTGCTCAAACGGCTGGTGAACCGACTCGCCGGGGTCTTCTGCTTGAACCGGAAATCGACCTCGGCAAGGTTCTTCATCTCGTCGAAGATCCATTGCTCGGGCTCGCGTTGCTTGATCATGGCGATATACTCGAAGACGACGTTTGCGACTTCCTGGTATTGCTTCAGACCTTCGGGGGTCAGGCGCACTGAAATAGTGAAAAATGCCGACCCAGCGCAGACAGGCATGGCGCCTGCAGACAGGCCATTGGCCCACCCCTTAGCCTTGAGGTAAGAAAGAACACTGCCCGGGCCCTCGTGGCCAATCAAATGGCTGATATACCGGCTAGGCTGGGTGTCATGCAAATCCTCCTCATCAATGAAGGGGAAGTACATATCCATGGATCGAGTATCCATGACCGGCTTCACGAACACCTGGGTGCACATGTCCTTCTCAGTGAAGGGCTGAACATCGTCCCAGCGGTTCGGAGCAAGGTTCTTGTTCTCGACATCGGAAAAGAGCTCGGAGACCCACTGCTCCAGTGTGTCTAGAGACTCCCGACCCAAGACGACCAACTTCGCCCGGTTGGCTGAGTAGTGCTTCTCGTAGAACCGGATGAACTCACTGCGGACTTCCAGGCCACGTTTCTGTGGATCTTCTTTCAGGGTCTGCAGATTACCGGTCGAGAAGTGGCTGTAGGGATGTTTAGGGTTTGAAAGCGACTTGTTCAGTTGCATCAAACGCCACAGGTCACTTTGAAGGTTCTTTTTATTTTCCGAATCCACCGCCTGCAGCTCCCGTTCTAGGGTTGACTCTAGGAAAAGCGGAGCGACAAAGAACTGGGCAAACCGATCCAATGCACCGTAGAGTGGCGACTTTCCATCTACGCCATTCCCATTCGACACGACGCCATTGTTATCATTTGTCTCGGCAGGGGTGCTGTCTCCACTAGTTTTCGGCGCACTGGAGTCACCTGTGGCGGACACTTCGAAGAAGTAGTTCGTTTCGGTGGCGGCTGTGTAGGCATTGGACGAACCGGAGTGGGATGCTAGGTACTGGTTGTATGCATTTTCCTTCGGGTACTAAACAACAGAGTTCCAGTTAGCATGGACCTCGGCTGGGCAAACGATAGTAGGTTGTTCATTTTACCTTTTTTGTACCCATGAACAGCAAATGCTCTACTGCATGAGCCATTCCTGGCATATCATCTTCATCGGAGAAATTGCCCACATTGACATTCACGGCGGCACTGGCCTTATCAGTGTCCGGGTCATGAACTAGGAGGGCCTCAAGCTTGTTAGGCAAACGGATGACACGATAAGAACGATCGTCAAGCTCCGGTTTCTCCAAGTTCTCTGTGATACGCTCGATTTGAGCCATGATTTTGGGTGTGGCGGTGAAGTTAGAGGATGAGCGGGTCCAATGCACGGAAGAGAGAATCGGTAAAGGTACGGGCCGTAAGGAACGAGAACTGGGTGCAGTGATGCGTGACAGCAAATCGGGATAAGGGCGGGTTGAGCTGCGAATGAGACCGTGACACAGGTTTGCTGCAGAGGACCTTGGAGGCATTCAGTTGCCAAGGGGAGAGGCCAATGACGTGACTGATAAGGTCAATGCACTTAGGAATTCCAGGGAGCCCAAGAATGAGATGCCGGGGTTATATATGTTTGTGGATATATATGTTGGATTAATAGACCAGAGAAGATGTTGTAAAGTCAACTGAGGGACTGATGTTGATCCCCGGTCCTGGTGGAAATACTGCCCAGATGCTTTGAGGCGGTGATAGGTTCTCGCAGCCCTAATAAGCGCCCTTATCACTTAGTGGCGTATTACTATACAAGGCTCTATACAAGGCAGACTGGTCTCTACAATGATTGAATAAAAATATAACATCTTTCCCATTATCATATTGACTACATACATGTCAAGAGTTCTAACTGGTCCACGTCGAGGCTTTCCCCCGCAGCTCGGCTAGTTAAACTACATGTGTTAAATGGACACTGCCCCTATCATATCAAATTACCACACAGAACCGGGCGCTTAGCACTTGGCTGCACAGAGGTTCAGGTTGATGTTGGTGTTTGAGTTGCAGTTCTTAGTCTGACTGCCACCGGGGTTGACACCCTGCGCCCAGCAGATGTTTGAGCAAGTCGTGTCTGTGGGCCGCACGACAATCGACTTGCCGGAGAATGGGTCACCAAAGACATCAGACAGATCGTACCAGACTGTACCAGGGTCGAGGGTGTATGCAAAGTTGGTCTGAGGGCTGCCGTTGTACAGACCGTTGTCGACGGTGGTGATCTTTAGCGAGATGCCACCGGAGGCACTGTCGTGGTGCAGTACTTCACTGTAGCTGCCACCTGCCGGGATGGTTTGCTTGGGGCCAACACTGCCACCAACAGACCAAAGGTAGACTGGGAATTTGCAGTGGTTGGTCACGACGGCGTTTCCAACGGCGCTGGCAAGAGGTGCCAAAGCGGCAACGGAGGCAATAACCGCAGTAGAGAAGTGCATTTTGATAAGCAGATTGTGTTGCTTTGAGGTCAAGTAATGAAGCCTGTTTGAAGTGGTGAAAATACCTCTCTTGGGTAGGATTTGAGGCCCCTTATATAGTTTCCCTGCTGGTAGGTTGAGCGTCGAATTTCCAGCCTATACCTAGTCCCCCTTTGATCCAAGTATAGGCTCGACTCCCAAAGCAGGGTTACCAGTG